AACGTGCACTGGAAAGTTTTGAGCGGTTGGTTGAGACTTTCATCGGCTCGTACAGGTGGAGCTCGACGGCGGCGACGGCGACCTCGAGTTCGGACGAATGATGATAGCGAACCGAAGGAGCCACGCGATTTACTAGAATATGCGGAAGCGAAGGAGTTTCCGCTCGAGTGAGAGGTACCCAAACTGCTAGCAGACGATTGATTGCACAGCGACCTACTTGATCCATCATCTGAATAGTTGGAAACGTAAGGACTATTCCGACCCGATCCTGAGGTTTGCGAATATGAATTGGAAGAGTCTGACACGGCCTTAGCAATGGCCGCCACGGACGCAGGTTCGTTTTCCGGCGGAGAATTCGCCCATCTCTGCAAGGGGTTCATGTTCTCGAACAACGCCGGCGTGCCTCTCCGCTGTGGAATATCGATGGCTTGGACATATCCTCGGCCAATATGAGGGGACGTCGCTCGAGTCGGTTGGATCTTTCCACGACGGCGGGCATTTGCTAACCAGTTCGTAATCTGTGTCTTGCTAAGGCCAGTTATCTTCTGTAGGCCCTCTTTCTCCTCTTCCGTAGGATATGGGTGTCTACTATGCGTCGATACCCAATTTTTCAGGATTTTCACTGACTCGCGGGAAAACCGTGTAACGCTCTTAGTCGTAGTCTGAGGCCTTAACAATGATTGTCTGTCCTCGGCGATTGCAACCAAGCCTGGTGCAGGCAGCGCTGAAGTAATCATAGCAGCTAATTCATCCTCGTGCAAGATGGACGTCTCTGGTCTATCGCCCATTATCGGCCAGGGGTTCGCAGGAAAAGTCGCGCCCGCTTCGGCAGTCAAGTTATGTTCTAGAGGCCCGAAGCTGCACTCACAACGTAGAGCAACACAGCTCGTACAATAACCCTTATATTTACCTTCTCTGATTTGCTTGCATTGGTAACCACCCATTGCGCAGTGCGTACAAGGCACGGCGGGTATTTCCCAATAAAGCTGTGAGTTGGCTGTCGATTCGGCTTCCGGCAGCGCCACCGGGTCGACCTCCTGAGACATCTGAGTGGACTCGAAGTGTTCAAGAGCCCAGTACGACCAGTCATCCCCGTCGACGTCCCCAAATACAAGGTCCATATTGGGTTGGTCTATTGATGCAGCAGGAGCGTCAATAGGACCAGCTACGCCCTCCGAGGTGACTACGGGTTCGGAGCTGGTGCCGACTACGGCAGCATCCCAATTAACAAATTCCATCTCTTCTAGCTCGTCGATTGTCGTCATTTAGGGCGCGGCCACCGGCCAAGAGATTTACACCTAGGGCGTAAGAATTGGCAAAACGAGAAGGGCGCCAGTGTGATGGTAGTTGTAGTTACAAGAGAAGCCAAGTAGATGACTCAAAAGGAGGACACGTCCCTGTTAAGAGAGGATGGGAATCTGGGGAAGAATACGAACAACCTTGACTAAGTTTTGAAGAGGGAATGGGGAAAAGAAGTTTAAGGCACGCGACAGATGTTTCTCCTCGCGAGCTAGATCCTTAGAAACTACGGTATTGCATAACCGTTCCAATATGATTTGCATACGCTGCTCCGTTTGTCGCTAAAGCCAAACGCGGGAAAGATGAAGATCCCAAGTTGAACAAGAGTCATCGTCCCATCTTGCTAGGCCGCCGTATCGCAACCACCGCAAAAGCCACTTCCGAACTCTGCTGACAGCGCCGAACTAATCCATGCAGTCATGTAATTGAGTGTGGAGTACGCGCCCTTGGGTTGACGAGCAGGGCGTCCGTCGGAATCCGGTCCAAAAAGGCGGGGGGGAAGGGGTTACTATTGGCTATTAGCACTAACCCATTCGCATATTACTGCGACTGTATATATTCCAGCCCCTTTACTGTGCAATTATGACCGAACAGCGCAGTCCACACCGCCAAGATATGCCTAAGCAGCTAAGCTGATAAAGGATCATGGATAGATGGAGTGTATTACCACATATCAGAGATACCTCTTGGATTTTTCTAGAAGCCCTAAAGGAAAATAAGCAGTCGAATCACGAATGGCAAAGATGACTGAGGCTTAAATATGCCGTAGGACGCGGGAATTTAAGACCAGGAACAAATTCAGAAAGAGGTATTGGTCAGTTGTTATTACACGGCATCCTATTGCAATTGGCCAATAGGAAGCAAGCTACAGAATGTTAAGAAAGACATCGCGTAATACAACAAGTCATTAGACTTAACCAGCTCTTATCAGTTTAAGAAAACTAACTAATATAAAGATACTACTAGCAATTTTCAGCCTTAAGGTATCCCTGGAGAATTAGTATGCCAGGAAGCAAGCAATGTTTGACTAGCTCCTATGAAAAAGTATCACTAAAGTTCAAAGCAGTTAGACGCTCCAGTAATATGCGTATTGATTCATGAGCGCATAAGTATTATCTAGGCCTAGTATTATCACCGTCTATGAAGTTTACCAACTTAGCGCCGGCTAGTTGCGGATGCTGTACGTGCACGTAAATACTAACTCTACCTATTAACAGCGAACTTAGTCTTAATGTCGGGTTTTTCGTATTGAAACATATGATTGTGAGATAAACAGCACGATAACGCGCTAGTATAGATAATATTCTATCGTACGAAAAATCTACAACATTTGCCCATCATTATTTTTTACCAGTTAGGATCTTTATTCGTGTTATTTAAGAGATGGGGGGAGTAGGTCGGAACCGTTACTACGGGGCGTATAAATTTACATACGCCTTACGAAAAGATGAACCTTTTTTTCCTAATATAAATATTTACCCACTTACTATGTAACTTAGTTCTCTTTCAAAGTCTCATCGCTAAAGTCTTAAGTATTTCGTTCTTTATTGTCCATAACCGTCGAATAATACCATGATATCAAGACCAGTGATAAGAATCCGGATAGCTTAAGTATCGGAGAATATAGAAGTGGGGCCGGTATCCGAATTGATATCCGGAGGCGGACCGCGAATAACACGGTAGATAGTAAAATGTATACTTGATTTTTGAAACAATTATCCTATTTATAGATTCTGTGATATCTATACGTAGATTGTACGAGTAGTTAGGATTTAATGAAGTCGGAGTTTGTAAGTGCTGAATCAGGAAGTACCGGAGTCACATAATTAGGTCGGCCGGAAATAAGGAGGGACCGGCCGGAGCTACACATTTACTGCCGGTGAAACTCGGCATAGCTTCGCATGTATTCCATATCGAGAGACTCTGTACCACCACCGGCCTCCAGCGATCCAAACGGCCACCATCATATCCCGTCGGGCTATCTCTTCTGCCGGTTCGGAGAGGGTATGTGCATCCGTGTAAACCATAATGATATCAAGCAGATTCGAATTATATAAAAGGTCTCTAATGGGGACTCTATGCCCTTCATTTCAAACATCAATGCACCTTAGTTCCTGGCTTAGACGTTTCAAATAATCGGCTTACAGGTATTCTTACAAACTACGGCATACTTCTTTAAGATGGCCCCTATTAACAAAGCCGCTATACTCGGTGAGCCCAAGGCTCATCCCCTCAAGGTCGAATCAACACCATGCCCAACTGCTGGGGATGGAGAGATCGTCGTTAAAGTAGCTGCTACCGCTATCAACCCCATGGATTGGTATATCCAGATTATGGGAGCGCAGCTGTTTTCTTGGCTTCAATATCCCTACATTGGAGGGAGTGACGTCGCTGGAACAGTAGTCGAAGTCGGCCCCAATGTCAGCAAATTCAAGGTCGGCGATCGCGTAGTTGGTCTTGCAGCCGGTTTCAACGCTCGATCCGGCGGCTTCCAAAACTATGTCGCCCTCGAAGCAAATATTGCCGCCCCTATCCCGGCTGACTTGGACTTCGCCGAAGCTTCTGTGCTTCCCCTAGGGCTGTCTACAGCGGCCTGTGGCCTTTACCAAAAGGACTTCCTTGCACTAGACTACCCGAGCGTCGACCCGAAACCCAAAGGCAAGACATTACTGATCTGGGCCGGTGCCTCAAGCGTTGGCACAAATGCAATCCAGCTTGCCGTGGCTTCTGGTTATGAGGTGTACACAACTTCGTCACCTAAGAACTTCGATTACTGCAAGGGGCTTGGTGCCGCACGTGTCTTCGACTACAACAGCCCGACCATCACACAGGATTTGATCGAAGCATTCAAAGGCAAGATAAGCGCAGGTGGATTTGCCATTCAAATCGGCTCAGAGAAAATCGTATTCGAAGTAATTAGCAAGGTTCAGGGCGCCAAGTTCGTAGCTTGTGCCATGGAGCCCACCAATGTCCCCGAGGGAGTTCAGACCAAGATGGTCTTCGCTAGCACACTCAAGGAGAACGAGGTCGCATCTGTCATCTACGGCCAGTATCTCCCGGTCGCTTTAGCCCAGAAGAAGTTCCGGTGCCTACCTAAGCCGTTGGTATTTGGCCATGGTCTGGAAAATATTCAAGCTGCGATTGATCTAGGAAAGTCCGGTACTGTCTCGGCCAAGAAGATAGTTATCACACTATGAGAGCGAGAATAATCGACTCGAGATGCGAGATATGGTAGATGGTGGGCTTTGTTTACTTAGCAGTGGTCACCTTATAGCCGACAATAGAATAGTTTTATTTATATATATTAGCCCACTCGTACCAAGACTAGGATCTCTCAATATCATCAAAGTGTACATGTAGCTATTCTATAACTCCATGTTCCAAGAATATATAGTGATGCCGATTTTAAAGAGGGGATTTTTCTTCTTAAGAAAAATCCTCATCGAGAAACGCTAGTTAAGAAGAACGATGTCTCAACGTAAGCATCTGTCAGATATACTATAACACTATTAGGAAACTACCTTTTAGTGATGTAGTGATATATTTGACAGCATCTCTACAGGGGTTCTCGGGTAGGCGTTTGATGGAAGACAGGTAAGCAGACCCAATCAAATTTCTCCTTTAACGTAAGAGTAACCGGAACAGGGTGATAATTTTACTCCCGTAGCCGGCGGCCGGAGTACACTTTTTATCTCCTTACCCACGCAGTCAGCCGCAACTTGAACACAACACTTTGAATTCTTCCCGGGTCCGTTCACGCACGGCTTCTTTCACATCTGGTTTGTCCTGCGCATACACGAATTCATAGATATCGGAGTCTAAGAATATGGAGGCGGCATTACCTACGAATATTCCCGAGTCTCAGCCTACGTCAGCTTCTACATCGGGTATAAGAGCTTGTACGAACTGCTCTCGAGTTAAATGCAAGTGTATATATCGGAGTGACAGCACCATTTGTGAACGGTGGGTTTAGACATCTTATCGCCGTTCCTCTCAAGACCGATTACGCCCTCGACATTAATACTGAGACTGTCTAGATGCTACCGCCTGAAGAAAAACTGCACGCCAACAGTATCGGCTGGGCGTCGCGTGGGAAAACGTCGTGGCGTTTCCAGAACTGCTCGACTTGAAGAAAAACTAGATGAGCTTATGTCAAATCTAAAATCACAGAAAGATACCAGAGAAACTCATATAGAAGATGAAGTAAATTATCATGATGAGCAGCAAGGAGCTCTTGAATCCAATACAGAGGTGCCATCAGCCACTATCGCGTCTTCAGTGCCGGCTACCCAACGTCCCGGAGAGACAACCACATTTGACATTACAAAAATTTCGAGTTCAAGTATTTCTTATTCTGACGAAACGTCCCCGTTAGAGGCAGAAGATTTACTAAGAAAATTCCGAGATGAAACTGCAGTAAGTTAAGCTCCTAGCTTCCAAACCGCAATAGATATATATATCACTAACAGCCAAATATAGGGTTTTCTGCCGTTGGTTTATATTCCTCCATATGCGAGAGCCCAACAGCTTCGGGAAATGTACCCATTCCTGTGGTTAACTATAATGTGCACAGTGTCAGCGTCACCAAGAAAACGAACCGCCTTAAGTGAGCAGGCAAAGAATATTATAGTTCTAAAGGTGGTTATGTATAGGGAGAAGAGCATAGATCTTCTTCTAGGGCTCCTCGTATTTGTAGGATGGTCAATACCCCAATTCAACACTCTGAAATCTCGAACCTTTTATCTGACTCGCTACTGTTAGGTCACATCTGCATAAACGAGATAAACCTTTCTGGACATTATTCTCTCAACTAATTGTTACTTTAGTCTGTGACTTAGGTCTCCATAGGCCACCGTCCGACCCAGCTATGTTTTGTGCAGCTGGTATTAGTATTAGCGACCGATCAACTCTCCTCAAGGGGCGCCCCCATGAGGAGCAACGCGCAGTGTTAGGTGCTTTTGCTGTTACCTCCATGTTAGTTTATCAGCCCGCAACCTTTTTTCCCATCATTAATCCAACCCATTCAATATCTGACGGGTTACTTAGGATATCGAACATCTTCAAACATGCCCCTGGGCTCCGTTGGTCCCCTTACCTTGACATCTACCTTTCAAACCTTGCCCACAGTAGTAAAGTGCCCCAAGACGAAAGCCTTACAGCAATGGTAAAAATGCAACTGATTGCAAACCAAATATATGACGACTCTCTATACGCCAATGGCGGCCGGCCTCCGGTACTTTATTTGTCTGCTCTTCGATCACAGCTACACGAGATAACCAGACAGGGAAGTCTTAGCGCGGAGGTCAGGAATGATCGTAAGTTAAAGTTATAGTCACCAATGTTAATCTATTTTCTCATTAATACGCTCTATTTAGATATGATCTTGGAGCTCTATCACTTTACAGAGCTTCTGATAAACGAATCCGAAATAAGCAAGCCGGTTACAACATGGAATGAGCCGGACTTACGACGATTTGAGATCTATCAGCGCTGCCTTGTGTCAATTAAAGCGTACCTTGACACGTTCTTCTCTACTCCTATCGCTCTTCTGGGTAACATGTCATTCGCCTGTTATCCTCGACTTGTCACAGTCATGAAAGGCTTACATACAATAACCACTTTACAAGATCCAAGCTGGGATCGGGCAGCGGTTCGGACAACCGTTGATCTCATTCCGACTTGTGATAAAATCATCGGGCTATTAGAGTATTTGAAAGCCGCCTCGGCCTTGATTTCACTGGATGGCGGCAAGGATGAATCGTATAACTGGGGCCTTGGGGTTTTCCGGAAGTTGAGAGATGTTTGGCAGTATGACCTAGAAAATATGGACACAACGAACACCACAAATCACGAAACCGACATGTTTGACGGAGTTCGTGGTGGCGGGCTTACAACGCCTGTAGACATTGGCAGTGAATCATGGTTCTTTAACGTGTTGGACGATTTTTAGGAATGGGATTGTTAGACTGTACATATAAATTGACCTGGTTAGGTACGTCGTATTAATTAACCTCATAACTGGCGACATAACGATTTAGAAAACATTAGAACGGGTCGTGATTGAGTGTTGGGGTTCTAGACAAGATATCTAGAACGAGGAACACTTTTAGTACTCCATAGATGTAGATGTAGAGTTCCTTGCGGAATGACGAAGTGGTTTCCCATGTCTTCCCGGTTCACCTTGTAACAGTTTTATGAATTTTAGCTAGAAGCACAACCAAGGAAGATATATAGTTAGGTACTTCGTCTTATGCTAAATATCAAAAATACCTACCAGACAACCAAGACTATCTGTTTCGTCCCTTTTGATTCAAAGAGCTTACTTCAGATGATCTGATTTCGATGTTTCTGGGCACCTAAACCAACTGGTGGGGTCATCGCATACACTTTCTCACACCTAATGTTATTCATGGTCGGGCTAGAGTATCTCGCTTCCCCATGATATCTACATTTATAAATGTAGGACCCTAGATGGATGGATAAGAGGTACCTAAGGTAACCATGAGCGTCATGATAATACGAACTCGCTCTCAAGCAAGACTCCTATGAGGTATGCATGCTATTCTTGAAATCGAAAGATGTTGTACGTGTAAAAGACCGAATGATTGGTATGGAATCAACCGCTGAATTTCCGGCGGCCTGTCGCGGGGCTTACCCTTGTATCCGCATGGCAGCGCCCTAGCAATTCTGAAGACAAGACACTATTTTTGCTAGATGGATGGTGGCGCGGTTCCTGACCCTCGCAGCATGCTTCTATCTTAAAAGTATTACTAGATAGAATATGTGATACCTTACTACCCCCTATTACTCATTTTTAGATATGTGTTGCGTATGGAATGTCATTGGCAGTCTTCGGTTAGTATTTTTCGGGACCGTACCTATGTAACAAATCCGCGTTAGGTATTCAGGCACAGTGCTCTGAGACAGTAGCTGGTCTATCTACCTACGTAGCCGCCTGAGCTGTCGCCCAGCGGCACAGAACAAGCCTATGTACTCGCTGAATCAGCTTACAGCTCGACGTCAGTCAGCATCACCCCAGAAGAATTGACTAACTTATACGGTTACAGTGGTAGAGGATAGCCTGCGGAAGAAGTTCAGGGACATTTCAGGATTTTGGTGGATTTTTCTTCTATATCCCAGGCGAAAAATGTTATATGTCTTGGATCTTTTTACTATCAAACCTCAAGAGGTACCTATTGTAATTCAAAACCCCCAATAACTCCTAGGCTCAAGAACTGTAGAACTCCACCCCCAAAGCCACGTAGGGCAGTGCGCTAAATATATTTTCCCAGACCAGAAAACCTCCCATGTGAACACCCAACTCCTGCGCTATGGTATCATGTTAAGGGTATGCCTTGTTACCTCATGCTAAACCCAATGCATAACAGTGAATTGTAAATCGATAGGTTGATATATCGTTATTAGGATTGCGTATCCAGAATCGCCGCATGAACAGCAGAGCCCCCTATATTGGGGTTATTCAACGCTGTTTGATTTTGCGGCCCGGGTTTAAGATAGCAATTGCCCGGCGCGTCTTGGTCGAATGCGAATGTGCGATTAGTCCAAACAGGAATAAAGCTGACCGCGGCACAGGTCGCATTTCTAGACGTGGAATTACGGGCGAAGTCCGAAGGTATGTAGAAAGAATAAGAAGCGCAAGCGTCGATGCAGTCGTCAAAATTACCCACGAAGAGAGAGGAGAGCGGGTTATTTGGAGCGTCACTGTTGCAATATATCTTGAAACTGGGATTATTAAAAACTTGAGGTCAGATAGTTAGTAGTGGTTCTAAATTGGCGTCCTCGCGTCGACCCTACACTCACATTGAGATTCGTATGTGGTTCCCGTTACTCCCGCTGAATTTGTAGAACATCCTTTATCAATCGCGCTGGAGTCAGTTGATGTTGGCCCTGGTGCTGTCACAGTGACAGTCGCCGGCGAAGCACTAAGTGCGGCCAAACGCGCCTCTGCGTCGTTCGCTCGGCTTGCTTCGACTCCAGTTCCGGCCGCCAAGCCGATGACGGCTGTCGATAAAAGGGCAATGATAATGGATAGAATAAACACTAGTACTGAGCATCCTAATATTCGTTGCGGCGCTCTGCCGTGCTCTGATGGTAGTATAGGACCATACCCGGTTTGATAGTCATACGTATACGACGAAGGTGGCGGGTGCTCAACTGGCGCAAAACCTGTATATCCTGCTGACAGGTTGGCTGACTCTTCAGGCTTTACAGTTGCCGGCGTATGTTGTCCATATGTGCTAGCCACTTCCGGTGCTGCAGGTGGGTGATGAACCTCTGGAAAATTCTGAGGTATTAGCTCAGGCGCCTCATCGTACTGCGATGCCGTTGAAATATTAGTTAAGCGAGTCAAGAAGAGTTAGAGCGCCATCATAGTGAGATAGGTAACTCACTCTTGGAGGCATATTTAACGAGGGAAGTTCGAACAATGACGCGTATTAATAAACTTCAATATTTACTAAAGCTCCCGGAGCGCCACAATCTCTAAGAATCACGATCAAGAAAGAAGATCGTGGTCGGTGCCGACAGAAGAGCAATATCGGGAATAACGGGACACAGGTCAGATATGAATGAGTTGCAGAATCACAAGCGGATCAAGGATAGGACTATTAATCCTTGCTCGTTTCCAGGTAGGTAACGAGAATCTTTGGTTCACACAGCGCAGCCAATCGTAAAACGAGATTGGATAAGCTCTCCTTAAAAACTTGGGCTGTCCATTGGAACACGGACCCGACGACTCGACAGGGTTGCATGAAAATAGACCGGGGTCTCCGTGACCGAATGCAACTCAGCGGAGGAAAACCACAACACATCAGATTCTAGAATATAGAATCCAACTTTGGAAGATAGGTAGGTACCTAGGCACATATTTGCCTATGACTTTGCTTGTGTCTATGACAATGCTTTAGAACTATATAAGATCACGGGTCGCTTTTTTATTATACTTGGCTACCTGTTATATGCTTAGTCCAACTTTATATTATACAACAACGGGTAAGACAAGTTAGATTGGGTCATATAACTACATCAATTATGATCCAATACTTCATACATCTTACTCTGTCTAAATTCACTATTACGCCACTAGTTCTTACCCACTAGTCAATTAAAGTAAGAACTACGATTCCATCCCGCTCATAGACTCAATTTAAGGCTCAATGACATACAGGTATTATACCACGTAATATAAAGAATGGCAAGCTAGCTGAAAAGCACTGGTGTGGCTATATTCGTTAGTTACATATCCCCTTAATACGAACACCTCTAAAAGAGTTGATTGAGAACTACTAATTATTGTCATTATATTTTTTCTATACGAAGTATACAAGCTTAACTCTAGATATATACTGTCTCGTCCTATTCATGGATAGAATACGAACGAGGTCGCCTCTCTATTAGCGTGGGGACGAATCTATATTCCATTAATGGGGCGACCTGTCGTGATGATACGGAACGCTGACGCCAGCTATCGGAAGAAATGGGCTGAGTGGTAAAAAGGTCCCATAAGGCTGAGCACTAAGACCACCTTCCCGGTTCGCGATGTCAGGTACTTATTAGTCATTACAAAACAATAAAGGACTTAACAGCTTAAATCCAAGGTTACACTAATAGCAAGAGTGTGGTTTGATTAACCTAGTATAATATCCAAGTTCGAATTACGCGGTTACTCTAAAATAATCAACTTGCGAGTTTCACCTACGTATTTGCCATACTTCTTAACCCACCCAATCCCCATTAGCCCTAGTTACCTACCTAGGTTAGGTGGGTATCTACTTATTATCATACAGGTAATTCATTCAATGTCGCCTACCCCACATGTAAACTGTTTAACTCAACTTTCTATCAACTTCAATTGACGTAAACTACGTCGAATCAAGTCAAATTCAAGCCTATCTATTGGTTAGTTATAGCAATCCCACGACAAGAAACTAGCTACTCTTTACTTTCTTAAGAGAGTACGGTCTTGTTTCCATGCTGCGCACTTGTTATAAGAGGCCGACAACAACCTTTAGTTATCAAGAAGCACCTAACCGAGGCACTAGAAGTGGCCTTTTAGATACAATGTACAACTCGAGCTTTCCGTCATCTGTCACATCTCAATGAATAGCTCGACTCTTATCAATCTATCACTACATCTTGTTTCTACCTAAATTAACTAGTCTATATTTAAATGAACTTTATACCTTGAAGTACCACGAGTGTGGCAAGTCCTCCAGGCTGAAAGCCAACGACTGAGCTCTAAGCAAAACGCTATAGCAATCATTTCGGTATGTACAGCCCCTCTGTTTAACACAACCAAGGTGATTGAATAAATACTTGGACTATATCGGAGTAACTATCTATACAAATACAGCAAATCCAGTGGTCTTAAAAACCAATGCGTTTGCGGTCAAGTGCTTATATCAAACCTGGAATAACTACTTGTTTTGTCCGTTCGGTAACTTCAATATAGTCACGGCTAGTTCAACCTTTTAAAAATGCTATAACTAGAATAACTTAAGACTTGAAACTAAGATATAATTGAGGAAACTAAATCATCTCAAGATATTAACGTTTCATCTTTTCACAATTCATAATACTTAAGGCTAGAGCGTGTGCGCAGAAACTACTTAGTTACCCAAGTCGAACTTATCTAAACGAATCGACCTTGATGTCCTAGGTTTACAGTTTCCTTACTTGAGGCGATCCGACGTTACCGGTTCTAATGCGTTGCTACCTGAGCCATACAGTTCCTTGTCTGGGATGCTTGGGTTTGGTATTAGGCATTGGGTCTTTATGCTTCCGGTGTTGTTTTTGGCTTGCGTATTGGAGAATGTGAAAAATTCAACTAAGAAAGATTTCGGTTGTGCAGATGAAATATGTGATGTCGTCTAAAAGGCGTGACTTATTGTAGGAATGGTTCCCTTCGCTAGTTACCTCTTAGTACAAAGTGCATGAATTACCTTACCTGTATTAGTGCTTGAGCCCTGATAATGGCTGTCACCGTCAGCTGATGCTCCTACTAAGCCACTGGTGAAGCGGGGTCATGCCTTGCCGATCGGAGGTGAGTTAGTTGGGCCGTTAGGTTACAGTACGACAGGTACTCCAACATGGAGGGGCAGCCGTGAGGGGTAGGTACATAATTGCTTCTGTAGAATTTGGTCAATTCATTAAAGGTACTTGTAGCCCAAAAGCAGCTGGCCATGGAACATGCTTTAATTCTTATGGAGGATGACGGATTATGCGGATTGGATCTACTGTACCTATCTCAGACATCAGGGTTCAACGATGAAATAAATTAATCTTTTATTACATGCGTGTAGCTAGCTATACCTTTTCGCTAGGCTACTTGGGGTAAGGTACCGTACCTTATTCTACTACCATCCCACGTTAACGTTATTCCCATAACCACGGATGGTGCCTACACTGCTACATTACAGTTGATAGGTACCTAAGTGTAGGTCTAGTGCCTGTAGGAGCTGTTCCTATTCATAAGCCGCATATGCATGGTGAGCATTTAGGTGCAGTGCAATACATCGGACGGAGTAGTAGCTTACCGCTCTGCCGCTACAAGCATCTAAATGTGGCTGAAATACACTAGACTCCAGCAGATGGACCAATCATTTGTGCTCCTGACTCGGAATAGCGGGAGAGAGCGTGGGTGGGACTTTCCAATTGGACTTACGTCGAAGTTCAAGGGATTCAATCCGTTAGTGCTTGTAGAATTTCTGGGCTCTTCTTTCCTCCTCTCTTATTCTTATACAAACAAGTATACAAGTACAAACATTGAACTTGTTATGTTCAAGTTGATGCGGAGGGAGTTATTTCTTTTCCTAAAAATAAGTGAATAGGCTTCTCAATTCCCAATTAGAGAGCCCATTCCTATGTGTTTCCTAACGCAAGATTGCTAGGTGAGCAAGCTAGATTTTCTCTCAAGCCTGCTGCAAGTCCTTAACCATACCATACCTAAAACCTTACTCTTTAAGCTTTTTGCCTCCCTTCCTCTTTAGCATGTCCTTTTCTGACTTCGTCGCGTAGATTTCATTTGTGACATTCGTACTTCTATTTCTACGCGTCCTTATTAGTAGCATTCATCCTGTACCCTACCGCCCAAAATGCATATCAACGAGATGCTCGCAGACGCCGAGAGGACCGGTCAGCCGTCCTTCTCTTTCGAATATTTCCCTCCGAAGACAGCGCAAGGTGTGCAGAACCTGTATGATCGTATGGAACGCATGTACGACTTTGGACCCAAATTCATCGATATCACATGGGGAGCAGGAGGGCGGATTGCTGAGCTGACCTGCGACATGGTCGTTCAGGCGCAGGCCTACTTTGGTCTCGAAACCTGCATGCATCTGACTTGCACAGATATGGGCGAGGACAAGATAAACGACGCGTTGAGGAAGGCGTACAAGGCGGGTTGTACTAACATACTAGCACTACGAGGTGACCCTCCTCGCGAAAAGGAGCAGTGGGTAGCTACTGATGGCGGTTTCAAGTATGCAAGGGATCTTGTCGCTCATATACGAAAGACGTACGGGAATCACTTCGACATTGGTGTTGCCGGCTATCCTGAGGGTTGTGACGATAATAAAGATGAGGATCTATTGTTAGACCACCTGAAAGAGAAGGTTGACATGGGTGCTACCTTCATTGTCACGCAGATGTTCTACGACGCCGAAAATTTCATACGATGGGTAAAGAAAGTACGAGAAAGGGGTATTACCATCCCGATCATCCCCGGTATTATGCCTATTGCAACTTACGCCAGTTTCCTTCGACGAGCAAACCATATGAATTGCAAGATACCCGATGGATGGATGACACTTCTCGAACCGATCAAGAATGACGACTCTGCCGTGAGGGAGGTTGGAAAGACGCTGGTTGCTGAGCTCTGCCGAAAGATTATGTCCGCCGGCATTGTTCACCTTCACTTCTATACTATGAACCTGGCTCAGGCAACCCGTATGGTCTTGGAAGAGCTGGATTGGATGCCAACCACAACCCGTCCTCGAAAGCAGGCTCTGCCATGGAAACAGTCTCTTGCACTTGGGCGGCGCGAAGAAGACGTCCGTCCTATTTTCTGGCGTAACCGCAACAAGTCATATGTATCAAGAACTCAGGACTGGGACGAATTTCCGAACGGCAGATGGGGAGACTCGCGTTCTCCTGCTTTTGGTGAATTGGATGCATATGGAATTGGTCTAACCGGCACGAACGAGTCTAATCGCAAGAGATGGGGTGAACCCAAGTCCGTCCAAGATATTGCCTCCCTCTTCGTGCGGTACATGGAAAGAGATCTCCCTTCTTTGCCTTGGAGCGAAGCACCTCTAACCGGCGAGTCGGACTCTATTAAAGATGATCTCATCAAGCTCAATCAACGCGGCCTATTAACTATCAACTCCCAGCCAGCAGTAGACGGCGTCAAGTCTACTCATCCAGTGTACGGATGGGGGCCCCCGAATGGATATGTCTACCAAAAGGCGTATCTAGAGTTGCTGGTCTCTCCTGATTTATTTCCCGAGATTATTCGAAGGATTGACGCCGACCCAGATTTGTCATACTACGCTGTTACTCAGTTTGGGAAGCTCACGACAAATACCCCCTCTGAAGGTCCCAACGCGGTCACATGGGGAGTTTTCCCTGGGAAAGAGATTGTCCAACCCACAATTGTCGAGAGTACTAGTTTCTTAGCCTGGAAAGACGAAGCCTTTAGGCTTGGTATAGATTGGGCCCATTGTCACGATGCCAACTCACCTAGTCGCATCTTGATCGAAAAGATTATGAACGAGTGGTATTTGATTAATATCGGTAAGTTACCCCGCAGTTCTCAGAAGAGAGCAATACTAATGTAGATTATGTAGTCAACAACGACTTTCATCAGCCACGAACTATATTCGAGCTTTTGGATGGATTAACCGTCAAAGACATCGATGTACCCGTGACACCTGTCAATGGAGAGCATAACGGGGTTCATAAGGAGACGAACGGCATTTGAGCTGTTAAGCAAAACGGAGCAATTGCTGTGGTATAAACATAGCGTTGATACAGGGAACGGCGTCATTGCACTTTTCAACAAGCATTCGGCAGGCGGGCAAAGGTGGTTACCATTTCAACAAGCATATATCGAGGCGTTTGGAAACGGGGTCCAGATTTTTCAACAAAAAATCGGAGCACAGGTTTAGGGCTTAACGGCAACCTGGGAAAAGGGATAGGCTGAACGCGGGTTGTGCTGCATCATATCTCAACGATACCCCAGCGATGAAGGTGATAGTTTCGAGCGCGATTGTTTATTTTTACTTGATTTTTTGTAAGCCGAGAAATTATTTGGACGGCATCTAGCGGGTTAAGACAAGTAAGTTCTCCCGAAAAAAGAGGCATGTCATCGGGGACAAGATAAGGCGTATTGCCATTAGAGATGACAAGACAAGGCCGATAAATTGAATAACTTTCAAACGCCTTTATCAAGCTCGATAATTAAAATCTAGGGAACTCTTTTATATGAAGATGTCTCTGATTATTGCCGATATCTCCGATTTATGTATCCCGCTCATACATAGAACCGATCCGGTTATGAAAAAAACAAAGTGTGCGGCTCAACAAGTCAACGTCGTATCAAATGATACATGTCGAATCTAGATCCTTAATTCTTATCCCTGCGCTACACCCACATAAGTTTAGGTTCTTTTATAAGCGAACCGAATGCCGATTATTATTGAACAACGTGCCTGTATACGCTCAAAGCGTCTTAGGACCTGAGTTTTGTGGGATGCCAATTCCGCTGCGAATTTCGCACTAGTTCGAAATGAAATACTCCTTAGCAAACTCCTTTTTATTAAAATGTACTTGTCTCTCTTGAATAAAAAAAAAAATTGCAAATTGCTCAATTCAAACTGTATATGTCACTAATGGAACCAAGTTTTGAATGATAGAAGGAAGTAAGTAAACATAGCGCGAAAACTGGTATCGTTTTTAACCTATTAACCTACCTTATTCCTTTTATTGACTGCCCAAGTGTGGATGTCTGCACTTCCTTTTTTTCCCTTTCCCCTATACATTAGGTACCCCCTTGACCGCAAACATACGAGGTACATTTATGATGCACCCCCTGTCCTACGCTGTTCCCTACTAATTTTTATTTTCTTTCCTTCAGAACTACCTTTCCTCATTTCTTTTCGCGACGTAAAAATATTTCCCCCCTAATAATCCGTTTTGTTGGGCAGGTTTATCATGGATACGATTATTATCAGCCCGGAGTTACCTCCGAATGATGTTTTACTCCTGCGGAACCTTGCCGAGGATATTAAGCAATACCAAGAAAATCGGACCGGCCCGTCTAACAAAGACGCCGCTACGACACCCGGCCAAGAGGCCGTTGATGGAGGTAGGTCCATCCCGTTAATTAGAGTAAGGGAGTTGGGGCAGAACCCAAGGAGCTACTCCGGATCCGGGTTCCGTGTTGACTAGGATTTTATTATAGCCCTTGGAAATGGCGCCCCGTCATCTAGGGATGAGCACGACCTGGCTCGCATGAGAGCGCTTAACGATCCGGCACACCAAGAGTTCGAGCCAACCATATTCTCTTCCGTGGACTTTCGAGATTTATCATCACGACTACACCCCGTGGTATATGAGTATATATTGAAGCCATACATCAAATGGGCTCAGAGCATTGCTAGACATCCCAGGGTATGTATAGCAATATCGCATCTTATGTTCACCCTATTATTGTTCCCGACGCACACTAACATATTTGCAGTGCGTGGTCATAGTTTTGTTCCAAGTCTAAAGTCTTCTCATAAGGAGTTTACTGACGAGAATGTAGCGATGTGATTATGGTTACTCACCTGATCATCTACTTCACCACTTCAGTCCCCAGCGCAATATGGCTCTTCTACCATTTTACCTATCTGCATGGGATTATCCACTCTGCCATGCAATTTTACTACGTAGGCACATATACGTTAATGATGCACCAACATATTCACGCAGGAGGCGTGCTACGTAAACAGTCCTGGGTCCACCTGTTCGACGTAATATTCCCGTATATTACCGACCCTTTGATGGGCCACACATTTAATAGCTATTATTACCATCATGTTAAACACCGGTCAGTTTTCTAAGTCATTCTCGAGGTTCCTTCGTATATAGCAGCTAACCCTTCCGTAGTAAGCAAAATAACTACTATTTTCTCATATCCTCGGCATTTGCCAGGTGGACATCGAACATTTTATAAAGGTAGACTTCAAATGAATGCTAACTCTATCTATCTTGGCTATTAGATCACGTTGAAGGCAACGGCCCTGATGATCTCTCCTCGACTGTCCGGTACCAACGCGACAACGTCTGGCATTTCCTCCACTACGTTGGACGTTTCTATTTCTTTGTCTGGTTGGACTTACCCTTGTACTTCTTCCGGACAGATCGTCTTACGTTCGCATTAAAGACGGCGTTTTGGGAGCTATTCAGCTATTCTATGCTCCTAACTCTATTTCGGCTGAATAGTCGTCCAGCGTTCTTCGTATTCTTGCTCCCATTCTTGTTGCTTCGCTTGGGACTCATGGTGGGCAACTGGGGTCAGCATGCCCTTGTGGACGCCGACGAACCCGACTCCGACTACCGATCCAGCATTACCTTGATAGACGTTCCTGTAAGTTCCTATCTTTCACCTCCGCTTAGTTGTTCGTCTAGCACTCTATTCCTTTTAGCTAGGATATAACCCGTCGCATATGCTTTGCTTACCACTAACGATGTCAAACTTTTAGAGCAATAGATATTGCTTCAATGACGGGTACCACACGTCGCATCATCTAAACCCTCTGCGGCACTGGCGTGAACACCCCGTGCACTTCCTGGCCAATAAGCAGACCTACAGCGCGGAACACGCACTTGTCTTTCACAATATAGACTACCTAGAGATTACCTTGCGATTATTGCTTCACCATTACGAGCATCTAGCGCGGTGCATGGTACCGATCGGGGAGAAGCAGATCGCCATGACCATCGAGCAGCGTGCCGCCTTGCTTAAACGCTGCACACGACGCTTCACCGAGGAGGAGATCAAGGAGAAGTTTAAGGCGCCTGTTAAGTTGGCCTCTAAGACTAAGTGATGGATAGCGCTGGGTTAGGAATTGAATTTAATCGGCAACCTGTCCGGTGACGGAATGAGTTAAGAATAGACATTTATCACCGGACATCTCCTTAATGAGGAGGAGCGTTTTCAGATTTTATATACCCAAGGCTTCCGAATAGACCAAGGTTACTTGTACAACGTGTAATAAATTTAATGCTATCATCATCATGCGTTTTAGTGAGTAAAAGGTGCCGAGCGAATGTCGGCCGAGGATGTTCCGTGTTTAATGGATAGGTATGTCCGCTTGCCTTAGGTACCTCCTAAGGTGCTCTAGCTGCCTTATGGTGGACCATTAGTGCAACTGTGCCAAAATCAAGAAAATTGATGGCACTATGTCTAATAAGGTAATAGTAACGTTAGGGGTACAGTATAGGCTCGATTATTTGCCCTGTATACACAATTTACAAGGTAATTAAACCTAATAGTACAATAACTTTACGAATATTCATCCAAACCTTTTCTAAAAAACATTAATATTTTAATTAATAAATAACAAAAATAATAGTCCAGGTTGCATGTGATTTAACCTAATACTGGTAAAGATATTAAAAAGGCTATGAACGTAGCTATACGGGCCGCTTTTTCTAAAGGTTTAAAAGATTAGCCAATCAGATTTAGCTTTTACCTTAGCCTTAAACTTTTCAATTGCCTTATACACACACAACACACATTCAAATAACTTTACAAAAACAGCAATCCAGACGTTATAATTGGTATCATTTTATAACCTTAATTGATGCGAAAACAATGATTCAAGTTGCATTTAAATCGGACTTTTGGCTGTTGTGTTGTAGTAGAATCAAATAGCGCTTGTCTGGAGAGGCAAGCACGTGATACCCTTTAAAAGCACCTCGATAAAGTTATTCCAAATAGATTCCAAATATTTTAATGGCAATATAATACTTAATATGCATCGCATAAACATGCAGTTTGGTCCATCTTTTTCGCATCAATTAAGGCTATAAAATGATACCAATTATAATGTCTGGATTGTTGTTTTTGTCAAGTTATTTGAATGTGTGGTGTGTTGTGTGTTGTATAAGGCAATTGAAGATTAAATTGATAATGGAATCTTTTACCTTGTATATACACTTAGCGTTCCTTGCTATATTACCCTTTTTGGAAAATTCCGACCTATTTTATTGATTTTGGCACAGTTGCACTAATGGTCCACCATATGCCTGCTTAGTTCGGTAGATCCGTTACTCTTGCCTTACTGTGGAGGGGCCAAACAGTCTCCGACTTGCCCCGTTTGTTCTCCGAGTCGCATTTCAACTTCACCAACTACCTATTTACACTTTATTCTACTGGATCCCACAGTGTTCATAAAAAGGAGTCGGATTGCATTTCATTTCTTATTTATTGTCTAGGGTCAGGGACGGGAAGCAGGAAGTACATTACACAATACCTCGGGAACCATTTCTCTTATGATCTCCCGATTGTCGCAGCTCGCTCGTCATCTTTCAAGACCTTACCCCGAATTCAGTCGCCTATCCGCATCCAGGACCAGCGGTCTGGCATCGAGAATCATGGCATCGGCAGATGAGCGGAATTCGAGAACTATACATACGGCGGCATGCTTGATTATCGGCGATGAAGTTCTTGGGGGAAAGGTACGGGTCTTGTCCCACCCGGCTAGTTATCTTATACCCTGTGCTTCCAGCTAACTCTCTTAGACAACTGATGTGAGATTCTATACGGACCATGGTTGAATATGCCAAAGACTGATCCTTAATATCAGACAAATTCAGCTTATATGGCAAAGTGGTGTTTTTCTCTAGGCATAGTAAGAGCCCCGGCGGTTAACTCCTATCATAAATACACGCTAAAGTTCATATGTCGTTATAGAACTTAAAGAGAGTCGAGGTTGTTGAAGACGACGAGGATGAGATCGTAGAAGCGGTACGGAGGATGAGTGACCGCTATGATTTTGTCGTGACAAGGTACTACTTATACTGGAAAGAGCCTGCCCCTTGCTAGATAGGCAGCGAAACTAACTCCTATCTAGTGGTGGCATAGGACCGACGTAAGTTTACAAAGCTTACCGTGATCTTATACAAAAAGCTCACCTAAAACAGACACGACGATATCACCTACCAATCCATCGCCAAGGCATTCGACTTAAAACTCATATTGCACGAAGAGGCATATGAACGGATGAAGAAACTCACCAAGCCGAGCAAGTCTCATCCGAATTTCAGTTGGGATGTAGACTCCCCAGCCAAAACCGCCCGGCTTAGGATGGTCTACTTACCCATTGACGAGTCACGCGACCTGGCAAAACAGGCTTTATTTACACGTGACGATCTCTGGGTTCCTATTTCCGTGGTAAACGGGAATATTCATATTCTCCCAGGTGTACCAAAGTTGTGTAAGTTGCTAAATCAGTTTGAACTTCTGCACAATAATACTAATGACTACTAGTCGAAAGCCTTCTGCAAGGTCTCAAGCCGTTTATAGTGGACCGACTAGTAGATCCCGAGGGCAAAGGTATTTTTAGAGCTATCATCTCTACGCCGATGGGTGAGAGCGCTATTGCCGGTTACCTCACCGATTTGGCAGCCAGAGTCGCGCATAAGGATGTGAAAGTCGGAAGCTATCCTCGATGGGGGAAGAAGAACAACACAGTTACTCTTGTCGGAAGGGACAAGGAGTATATCGAGAGTTTGGTACCGGAGGTTGTGCAGAAAGTCCAAGGAAAGCGAGTTCAAAATGAGGGAGAGGATGACGAGCCGGAGGTCGCAGCCTCGACGCTTACCTAGGCATAAATATTGTTGGTCCGACTTCTTGATATAGGCCTACCAACAGCTCGGCGCTATTCTTCCACGCCCCTTCATAAATGGAGAAGGTGTTAAGGAGATCTTCGATGATTGTACAGCTAATTCGGCCGATCTGTAAATGCTATTATCTTCTATTGTTAGATTCCTCTTTCATCGCATGAACGACATGATTCCTTCCGAAATTCGACTAGAACCGGAATTGACCTACGCAAAGCGTTGCTCAGCTATAAAATATTATTTTCGGACTCCTTCTCGGCGTGGCCGCGGACAGTTGCCCGTCTTCGCGGGGTTGATTGCCAATCCTTGCTTAGAAGGCGACTCTTCTGGTTAGAACATCTTACCCATGACAGCACATGCATGAGAGATACATAACTAGTGGGCTTCTAGAAAAGTTAAAAATGGTTCTGGTTTCTGGAGTAGAAAAATGATCATGGAAATCAAACGTCTGAGGGTAGATACAGTATTAGATAGACTGACGGGGTTAATGCTGGGTAACCTGGTCACGATCGCATCGTGTCGCGTTGATGGATCGATTAGGGTATTATTAAGATCAAGGCTAAGTGGAATTGTTCATTACATAGGAAAAAGGAAATGAAACTCATTTCCAATTCTAGACCCGTGTCACATTGTCCTTGTGGATTAAAATTTTGGATTAAAATTTAGATGGCCTTTGTTATCATGGACAACGAAAATACCTTGATTTCGCTCTACTTTGAGTCTTTTGAACAAGAACTATTGTTCAATGGTTAAAAATAATCAATCAAATTTACAGAACCCGAGCTGACACGGAAAATATGACTGTAATCAGCGCTGTGTTGAATATCATAATAACGTTGGGCGAGTCGGGACGATTTGCCCACGTAAGGACCCATGTGATGCCTGTACCCATAGGATTGTAGGATGCTGATCGATGGGGAAGCTGGTTGGCGCTGGCGCTCGCCTTGCTCGCGTCGTTGAAGAATATGATGGGATGATGAGCTAGCGGTCGACGTTCTAAGCCAGTTCACCGCTCAGGGTTACATTTACCAGCATTACCAGTGGGGTTTAACAGAGGTGGTGGCTGGTTGGTTTTTTTTTGGGATTTTTTTGGAGGCTATCAATGCTTCCTTTCACGCGGAGCTGCCATTGAGCGAGAAGAACGGTGTGTGGTCGCCTTGGAAGAAGCAATTAAGGCTGCTGCTTTACATACATACAGAGGATGGGGGATGGGATGGCAGTGGTTCGCGTATATGTGTGTATGTGTGTATATGTGCAGATTGGTGAGGTGGTCGATGTCATCGGCCCAAAGAATGAATATTCCGGCCTTGCAAACGCACAAAGTGGGAGCTGTATGTAGGTTACACATCACCTACATATATAGGAAGCCATCCAGTTGGCGCTCGTCGACAATCCTAATCGAGACTCGGATGATCTTAGCTGGCGGGTTTATTGATTGATTGATTGATTGATTGATATGGGCCATGATAGGTGCGCGAAGAAAAGGACCAACGTGTGGGATGGAGGATAGAAAGTTTATAGCGAGTTATTGGAATGGAGTGAAGCGGGTTGGATTTTAGGTGCACGTTGTTAGTTGTTAGTTGTTAGTTGTTAGTTGTTAGTTGTTAGTTGTTAGTTGTTAGTTGTTAGTTGTTAGTTGTTAGTTGTTAGTATGAATATGGAATATGGCCCCTGATAAGATGTGACCTCGAATTTTAAGGTTGGTGGAGTATCGCATTCAGATGCTTGTAAAGACGTGTAAGTGGTCGCCGAGGCGCTGGAGAGGTCTAGGGGGGGTCAAGTTCTCCTTTCTTTAGTACTAAATATACTAAATATACTATGTATTAAGTCTGTAGATTTGAAAGACTTCTGTTTCTTCGTTTGCATAGCATCATTCGAACTGAGGCAACGTCTATGTATCAAAGCTGACACAAGACACACGGAAGATAGCAAAGTCCTCAAGATAGCACAGGCTATCATTTTACATACTTTTACATATAATTATACATACGTTCAGGCCATAGGTAGTTTAACTCTGAGATAAGTACAGATATAAGTAGGTACTGACCTACACGTATATGTAATAAATCTCTTCGATAATATATGGGTTTAGCAATCGCAGAGAAATATATCCATCTTATTAGCCCGAACGTGTAGCGCTTAACCATAGCTATATCTTACGTAGTCCGGCAGGGTACATGCGCTAGCTAAGTGCCTGGGGTATCGGTTCTTTTATATCTAACCAAATCTATACTTAGGTACGGATTACCTAGGTAAATAGATACATGTATGTTACTATGTACTGTACATGGTTCCCTTTCTACCTATCTGAGGTCGTCTCTGATAGAAAATTTCAAGGCGGACGGACAAGTGCATTAAATATTTAACTTGAGCATTTCTACATCAGGTAATATATTGTGCTTATGTAAAGAGATATATGTACATTTCCCATAGTAAATTGCTAGCGGTCATTCCCTGCTTGGGTTTAGCGTAGTCCACTCTTGGAATTAAAAGAGGCTACCCACCTGCCAATTGACTGATCTGGTGATCCGTGCCTGTTAATCAAAGCGCTAGAAATCATATGAGAAACTTTAACAGCCAATGTCCAATCAATTTCATTTGGTCCGTGATCCTCCCCTGCCCCACTGATATCGTATGTGCGCCGGAGTACCTACGTGCACATTTATGTACATGTAATATATGTAAGTTTCTACATATTTGTAGGTACATCCAAGTACCTCTCTCCTTGTCTTTTATATCTTCCATGTCTGCTTATGCCAGGTAGGTACCTAGCTAGATACCCACCCCCTTTGCAAGTGCTATGGCCAAGCAACCAAAGCAATCAAGCGCCCCCATGAGTTCCTTCTCTTTACCTCCAAAAAGTAACCGCGTAGTGAAATCAACTCCCCCCTTCTTCGCCGTCACTGCATTCTAAAGTGATCCCTAAAGTGATCCACGGACGCATACACATGCACACGACGAGATATCTTCTCTTTTCTACCTGTACCACCAAGATCCGTCCCGATCCTTTTTTTTTTACTTTTGTAATTCCTTTCTTTCGTTTCCCCTCCTTCCCGCGAGATACTGCCGTAATCCGGTACCGCCTCTCGCCTCTTATTTTCTTACTTCTCAACCAGAATTTACTTCATCGCCGACGGCCATCATCTTAGAATCTTACAATACCTCTTTCCATAAATATCGCTGTTCATCTGATCCCGTCGCTTAGACTCTCGCCGAATCCGTGACGACAAAATCCTTTGTCCGGCCATTTAAGACAATATTAACCGTACGGTGCTGCATCAAAACCGCACCCCCTTGACTCAAATTTCTGTCGGTTCCCTCTACTGCTCGACACAGTTCGAATATTTATCAGTAGAACGACGCATCGCTGCCAATTGGCGAATTCACAATGGCATCCAAGGTTTGTCCTCCCGTTTCGCGCGCCTTTCTCCAATCAGGGTATCGATTGCTAACTTGTTCATTTTCGTGCAGTTTTTAAGAGAGTACAAGCTGGTTGTAGTCGGCGGAGGAGGCGTAGGCAAATCTTGCCTGACCATTCAATTGATACAGAGCCATTTCGTCGACGAATATGATCCTACCATCGAAGGTTCGTCAAGAGTCTAAATACTATCACTTCGGCTCTTTGTGGACTGTCCTAGACTAACATGTTTTCTATTGATAGATTCCTACCGCAAGCAGTGCGTTATCGATGACGAAGTCGCTCTACTCGATGTGCTTGATACAGCCGGCCAGGAGGAATACTCGGCTATGAGGGAGCAGTACATGCGCACTGGCGAAGGATTCCTTCTAGTCTACTCGATCACGTCCGATCAAAGTTTTGAGGAGATCCGCACTTTTCAACAACAGATTCTAAGAGTCAAAGACAAGGATCCTACAGACTATTTCCCGATGGTCGTGGTGGGCAACAAATGCGATCTAGAGAGCGAGCGCGAGGTGCCCCGACAAGGTATTTAGCTCTGCTGCATTTTCTATTGTCTGTCATCTTGCTAACATATGCTATAGATGGTGAGGCTCTCGCGAAGCAATTCGGATGTCCTTTTGTTGAGACCTCCGCTAAGTCTCGAACAAATGTCGACAAGGCATTTTTCGATCTCGTTCGAGAAATCCGCAACTACAACCGTAACATGCAAGGCCTGTCGACGAGCAGTGGCGGTAACGGTGGTTTGAATGGCCCGGGTACTAAGATGGAAGTAAGCGAGGGAGAAGCCGAAGCTGGTTGCTGCTCTAAGTGCATAGTCCTATGAGGTGGTTGAAGATGGCGCGAAAGTAATCGGTTCATTGATTGAGCAACGCATATGAGAAGATGTGGGTGCTTACCTACCTGGACATGTGTAGGGTGCGTATGCGTTTGTGTCCATGCGCATCCGACATGAGCGCTATGAACGACCTTAGCAGGTTCGGGACGTATATGTCGGTTCGATCGATGCAAAATTGTTGCATGGTAATGGGAGTCGGGGTCTTGCAGCTTATTATGGGACCAAGCAAAATCATCAGCATCTGAAAAGGGGAATAAAGGGACAAATCGAGTGGTTAATCTACTATTACCCGAGAAGACAACACTGTCTATGCGGATTTGTGGACGACGCGTTTAGGAGTACAGAATACTTCGCGTGGACCTTCTCAGGTCTAGATCATCGCAGATGATGTGGAAGATGATCTCTCCTGCTGGTCATTTCACTACTTGTAATGTTCCTCACTTATTTTCATCTTCGTTTTTTTTTTAGTGGTTTCATCATAGATTCCCCCATTTCAAGTTCAGGCGTCAGTTCAAATAACCTGGTCTCAGAAAACTTGTCTCTGTGCATGTCTACTCCTAGGTCCAGCCTAAAGCCGCATACCTGTGATATATTGCCCCTGAGAAATCTGGCAATCTAATGAATTATATAGCATCTTAAGTCACTAACCCTCCCATTGCCTATAGTCATATTTAACAAATCTTGAGGCACATAGGATTGAGCACAAGAGGGCCGCATAACAGTAAGCAAAATCGGAGCGTAACTATCAGCTATATGTTCATACTAAGTCATTGCTTAGGTAACTTTACTTTTGCTGACTGAATAGGAGGTAGGTAGGTAGGTACCCAGGTAGGAATGGAGTCGTGTGGTGATAGTTTATATTGGTGAAGAAACACAATCAACTTGTTCTTGGATGTTACTAAACAAAGAGCAGGAGACCATCCTCGCTCAGCGATGTTGTTTGGCAATAGTAGAATTGTCCGGCGTCAACGCATGAGAATTGCATTGTTTCCAACGTCCGATCATTGATATAATAGCATGCTCTGCTCTCTATCATGAGAAAGGAATCTCAGCATGATCATTCAATAGAACGAATAGACATACAGAATTTCAAAAAACTTCACGACTTAACATATCCTACATCTCATTGACTTACCCTTAAGCCTAACATTCATTCAAAATGAGTCGCGGAAGAGTACGTCGAAGAGAAGACGATGACGATGACCCCCTGACGAGGGATGGGTTCAATCCTCGGACAGTTAGCTACAGACCAAATATGGTTTGGGATTATTATTTCACTAACCAACGCTTTTTAGAGCTTGCCGAGTGGCGTAGGAGGTATTATCCGACTAGCCCTAGTTGCGATTGGTGTATGATTTTCAACCTTTACTGCAATCGTCCTCAGGGGTGTGCGCAATGCCTGGCCGCCTCTCGACCGTGTACCGGCGCCCCCATGCCTATGTCGTATGGTCAGCCTACGCCGTATGGTCAGTCTCAGCCTACGCCGTTCACTCAACCTAGGCCGTATGATCAGCCTCAGCCTGCGCCGTTCGCTCAGCCGGAGCAGTACTCGCTACCATATTCGATACCGCAGCCGCAGCCGCAACCGCAACCTACACCGTTCCCTCAGCCTTTGCCATTCGACGATGGTCTCATCGACCCGCGTCTGCTCGAATATGATCAGCAACCACAACCACAACCTCAACCGCAACCGCAACCGCAACCGCAGCCTCAACCTCAACCGCAACCCATGTCATACTCGGAAGCATACGCTCGAGCGTTCGTCGAGAATGCCCCTATTCCCATAAGGACGAGAGAACCAGATCTGTCGCAAACGGCATATACCGCTGGTCTGGTGGGCACTGTATATGACCCTAACAGACCAGATGCAAGTAGTTATACTCTACCACCTCCAGGAGGCTTTAGGCAAAGGCCTGATCCCGTGCCGACTCCTACACCTGATTATACTTCTGGTTATACTCCTGCTCCGCCTTCGGGTCATACTCCTGCTCCTAATTCTAGTTTTTTTCCTAATAGCATCCCCAGCTATGACCCATTCGCGGCCCCCAGCTATTTTCCCGATCCAGCTCCAGCTCCTCCTCATTATCCTGATCTGGGTCTTGCTCCTAATCATCCTCCCCAAGGTTTCAATTATAATCCTGCCCCTATTCCTGGCCCATCAGCCCGTAATAGGGACGACGAGTTCATTACCCCCGAACGGCGAGCTAACTTGCCACATGATTGGGAAAATGGCTGGCCGCCAGGCGCTCGTCCGCCTCCGACGGACCGTGCTGGGCATCCGATTAACGAATGCGACGCCTGTCGTGCAGACCACCCCGGCTACCCTTGCGATGCTTGGATAGGAGTATCTCCGGGGGTTGGTTGCACTTACTGCAAGAAGGGCGACAGGTCTTGTCGCTGGGGCGATGTACGCCTGGCTCCGCGACCTGACGGCTTGACGGAGCCGATAAGTTGTGATCGATGTACGAGAACTAACATCTTGGGTTGTTCCTGGCGAACTAGACCAACTGGTGCTCCCTATTGGCCTTGTACAAGCTGTGAGCGTGCTAATCAGCCGTGTACTCACGGGTTTCTAGGAGGTATGCCGGGCTTGAGACCCCGGGAGCTTCTTGGCAGCGAAAATACTCACTTCTCGGTCACCTGTTATCTACCTGGGAATTTTTCAAGACGGCAAGCGGGAAGTAGGGAGAGACAGAGTAATCCGGCGAGAACGTTTAACCCCGAGGGCCCGAGAAGTCGTAGCCCCGGGCAGATTCGTACCATGACCGGGGACGCCGCTCATCCCCAGCCAACGAAACTTCAACCGACCACGTTTGACGCTGCTGCTCCCAGGCGGCTTAACCTTTCCGGACGGCGAACCGACGGAGGCCAGCAATGTCTTCTGTGTGCTAGTAGAGTTTCGCAAGGCCACACGCGCGCAAATAGCCGGAGATGTAACGCTGATCCCTCGATCCCTAGGGGGTGTGACCAGTGCAGTAATTGGGGAGTGCAGTGTATAGTTGACGGAGCAGCCCGTAAGTAATATTCCAAATTCTCTTTTCCACCTTTCCCCCCCCTTTTCCCGGTTTAATCCCTCTGAAGCCATCATATGCTGACTCTTATTTCTATAGTTCCACCTACGATATGCACCAACGCTGGCACTGCACGGGACCAGGCCCATTATTCTCATTGCGACGTGTGCGTTCGATATAACAGACCCTGCGACCGGAAACGGCCGTGCGACTCCTGTGTAATTTTTGGAGTAGCATGTCAAGGTGGATCTGTCAAGGGGACATTTCATCGAGGAGTCCCGGGTGATGACCAGCCCCTATATTACTTGAGAACCGGGTTCGGAGACGGTGGTGTCTTTACCATGCCCGCTACAAGAGGTCGTCGTCCTGCGTTGCCTCTGGACTACCATCTCCAATACCGGCCGACAAACGGGTATTCGGGGGTTGGTCTCGGTTATGTGGATGAGCATAGGCGGCCGCGCACGATACCACCACCTCCTCCTGGACTGCAAATGCAGTACCCGGATCCACCAGTTCCTCAGCCATTACCACCGAACGATCCAGATGTTCCAGATGTTCCAGATGTTCCGGATGTTCCGGATGTTCCAGATCAGCAGGGTTCGCTCCTTGATGCCCCAGTACCGGAACTAGAACAACCTGTTGTTAAACTAGGCACACCGATTTATTCGCCATTGAATATTGCACAGCCGGTAGTGAAAACTCCTGTTGTTAACCCAATCCCTTCACCGTCGAATCTTCCACAACCAGCTGCGGCACCCCCTCTTCAGCCAATAGAGCAGGTTCCGCAGTTTGACGATTCGGTATTTGATTTACCATTCGAGCATCCTGATTTTTCGGTACCGGTACCAGAACCCTCTAATGTTCCGCAAGACTCACAGGGACTTAAATCACCATCTGATGTACTTAAATCGCCCTCTGGCTTTACAGAAGCGGCACTGGGACCACCTTTACAACAGGATGAATCGTCTGGTTTCTCACCAGGCCGTACGGGATCTGCTGAACAAGGACTGAACGAGCAGGAGTTTGAAGAATTACTTTCTTCCTGGACAGATCATAATACGATGCTAAATGAGCCCCCGCCTCAGACTGGGGTCGATCCTCAGACGCAACCTGATAACACTCAACAGCAGGCTGGACATGACTTGTCAATAAACCACAGCGTTCAACCGACCAACTTTGACTCGCCCCCTGAAGTTAACCCACCATCCCCATTCTTTATTGACGAGCCTCCACCAGTTGAATGGCCCTCTACAGAAGATCAGCCTGCCCCGTCACCCTTGCCTATGTGGAATACTACTGAGCATCTTAATTTATTTGGTTCGCCATCGAACCAGCCGGCTCCATCGCCTGAGTCGGGACCGCAACCTGCTCCGTTAGATAGGTTGGTACCACCGGATCCTGCTATTTTCGATGATATTAGTGCATGGGGGGTTCCACTAGGCGAGCCCGCTCCGTCAGAAAATGCCGAACCGGATAATAGCTTACGGGATTCACCACAAAGCCAATCTTCTCCGTCATCTAAGTTGACACCACAGACTACTTCGTTTTTTGGGTTGTCGGTGCCGCCTGATCCCTCGTATGAGTCAACCATGCCGCCTACTATACCCAGCGAGGCAGTGGTAAAAACCCCGCAACATCTACCAGTATCACAAGCACAGCTTGCGCTGTCGCTTCCGCCACTTCCGGGGATAGATAGACAACAACAGATCGAGTTGTGGGCACGACTCATAGAAGCGGATCACGATCAGCAGGACGTGGCAGCACATGACGCGATTACCTATGATCAGTTGATCGACAAAGAACTCGGCGTAGTTGACTCGGAAGATGAGCGCGTGGCGCTCGACCAGCAGTCCCATGTTTCTGTGTATGCTGATGTTTGGGGCGTCGCACAGCGTTTGGTAAGGGACCATGAACAAGTATTCGATCTACGGACTATAAGAAGACGACTAAGGATGGACATGCTGGCTAGAATCCCTGCGGAGCAGTCACTCGTTGTTACTTTGTTGAAAGAGTTCCTCGGAGCGCAGCACGTAGCTGCTTTGCAGGTCTATACGAAGGAGGTTCCGGTAAACCTCAATTACGAAGGCATAGATGTAAACGCAGCGATGGAGCTAAACCCAGGAAATTGGCCGTTGATATACGTCACGCCCGAGTCCAATCACCGTCCGGCCTCTCCTGGTCCCAATCGTCCCGTCTTCTACGACCTAGGTACGGAACCAGTACTCGTCGATGACCCCGAGCCACCTCCCATTGGCGAATCGGCGATTATCAACCGGGACTTGCTCGTACGACCGCGACCGCCCCACCCGAACCCGACAGCGCGCCCCGTGCTCGCTTACATGCCTTTTGAGCGAGTGTACGAAGGTGGGAGAGTAGACTACGAGAAGAAATTAGAGTGTCTGATGCACGTGGACGGAAAGCCGTGCGGGAAGCTTACGGACCTTGCTTGCGAGGATACACGACACTCATCTCTTGTCCCGATATGTATCGATTGCGAGATAGACTCTCGTAGACGTTTTCTCGCAAGCGTAACAAGAATGCTAATGCCTCTGCGCGCGTTCGCGTGTGCCGAATGCCTTGACGGCCCTGCCGTTCTCACTGCGACATACAACCGGACCGGGAACCGCCTGTTTGCCGGCTGTCCCGATCCGAACGGTATAAGCCCCGCCTGTCCTTCACCAGATATCGGGCTGTCTAATGTCGGTGGGTACACGGGTCGGCTCGGGTACATGTCGGGGTGCTTCTGCGCCAGCAAGATACTCGGTCGCGTGTGCTGCAGTGCTCACAGGCTGGAGTACATCATCGACATGGACCGGAATATCATAGCGATGGACGAATGGCTCCGGGAGACGTACGGACGAACTTCGGTGTGTCCGTTCTGCAGAGTGCGACCAGGCATCGACGCCTACAAGTTCTCGGGCCCGAAGGGCGGCGAAGGTAAGAATAAGGTCTGGTTCTGCAAGGCGTGCCACGATGTGGTTTACGACGCTGCCGGGAGTCCCGCGCGTGTCGGCGGTTTGGATGGGTACAGATACATGCTCGGTATCATTCCTGCTGAGGACACACCAGAATATTCACTAGAGCCTCCGCCCGAGGCGGGACCCAGCGGAACGCAGGGGTAAGTCGTAGATATACGCTTTCTCTCGTAGATATGCGCTTTCTCTCGTAGATATGCGCTTTCTCTCGTAGATATGCGCTTTCTCTCGTAGATATGCGCTTTCTCCCGTAGTTTTCTCCGGTATGCCGGTAAGTGGCAACAAGGCGAAACCAAGGTATGTATTCTCCCGTGCTTCTAAGAGTAAGTCGTAGAGATTACATGGCGCGCAAATTCTTGAGTATACGACCGCCTGAGCGAGGATAAGAGTCAGCGTAAAGGTAGGGCATCGCGATGACTACCTGATTATTTTAATGATAGATATTTATTATCGTAAGTGTTATTTAGTAAGAGTACCTGATGCATTCATCTAGAGATGTAAGTGATCCTTAATTAGTACCTTGAACTGTGACATGCCATGTTGAATCTATTTCTGAGGAGTATATCTACTTCGCAATGAAGTCTCTTTTGAAGGGCTTCTCCCCGATGTTCGGCATAGAAGATTGATAGTCTAGGATGTAAAGCTCTCCAACTAGGTGATGAGGTGGATCGGAAGACTGAGTCAAAGATCACATCGCATCACCTCATCTACGAAGATATCTCACGTCATCAGAGATATTCGCATCTTACTAAAGTACACCTAATGCAATATGAACGACTTGGAAATACACAGATAGGTAACAACTGGTTTGCCATTAGTGTAACTACCATATAATTCAATACATGAATGTCTTATCCAAAAGAGACTATTGAGACCCCTACCTCTCAAAGAACCCCCTTAAACTCTTCTTCGGCTATCTCTTCATTGCTCCCATTAACAATAAGCAACACCTTACTAGATACCTAGATTAAGCGTCCACGCCTCTACGGTCCGTACGACGATCGAGGCGATTTCTCTTTGTAGAGGCCTAACACTATTCTACACCCTACCCCTAAGAACAAAGAACTTAAGCAGTGGTAAAAGAGAAAGTGCGCTTACAACCACGTGGTCGTTATAAGTATAGCAACAAAGCAGTCCCTAGGAGAGACATCCATATGTATATCCCATGTGTCCTTGGATAATGGAAGCTTCATATATAGCACACCTCATCAAAGGCAACTAAGAAGTAAGACAAGATGAATAAGGTACCCTTTGACACGCTTCTTTCTCGCATAAATCTTAGAAGGCAAACCCTTACAATTGACGAACTATTAGTGATTATGGCCTCGGCTTAGTTCGGGCCTAGGACCGAATAGGGGTAGTTATACGCAATGATGAAAAAGTGACTGCTGATTATTTGCTTCCAAGGACAATATTACAATCGTTCGCATTCATTAACCTCGAGCCCTTTGCACGATATCTAATCCTACACCTAAAAGTCGTTCGTGAACCCTCTAGCCATCGATGCCACTGCTTGGCTACTAAAAGCAATATCTCAATAGACACACAACCCGCATAAGGGGGGGAATAATAGAAAAATCATAGCTCAAATCGCACAAAACAAAGCGGGAACTCCTCGGTGATAAACAAATCATACGCCATGAATTAGAAAAGTTTCATCATTGCACGTTTCCTATTGTACATCTTCTATTTATGGTCCTCAAACCCCGGACACCGAATGTCGAACGGTTTCTTTTGATTATGTGGTGTACATATCATCTCGTTGGCAAAGCTTCGCCAGCGATCTAGCAGATCGGTAGTTTTTACTCCGTCGTGCTGCGGGTAAAAACTTAGGTGCCCGACTACGGCACGTGTATCGATGATAAACGGCCGGCGCGTTCGCTTCGGGATCGTGACCGTGATGTCTTGCTCGTCGTCTCCGGCGATTGGAAGCGACTTCTTGATGTCGTGGCCCCATAAGGCGACGAAGTTGAGGTTGTAGCGCTTGTATTGAGTATTGTACAGCTGTTCTGCTCCAGGGCTTCCCTTATTTTGTGCCTGGTACTTCAGTACCGGTGCGGATGAATTCGTAATGTTAGGGAACTCCATCGGCGATCCGAAGAAGTAACGTGAGATGGCATTATCTTCCAAGTTCTTCAATAACGAGTATTGCTGCTGACTCGCAATAGCCCAGGATTTCCACGCCGCCTCGTACATGGACTCGACGCCCTTATCGCCTCCACGTAGATAATTAAGACCCATCGGAGTCTTCATTAGATCAAAGGGGGCGTCCGGTAATAAAAGGAATGGGTGACCGTTATACGGAGGTTTGGGGTAAATCTCATCATCCATCGCTATGCTCTTGAGGTTGCTGATCTTTAGCTCTGGTAGGCTTGAAGCTGGAAAGCGGCTCTTTTCGGATGGTCGCCATGACTCGGTGGCAGTATATGACGGCGTTTCACTCGGGTCAGGCCGGAAGGCATGGATAGCACCGACATGGAAGTGCTCATAGCCTGTAAGAGGGCTGTTGACTAAATTCGCAGAAATGGCAAAAGGGTGAGGGATTGCGATCCGGGTATGAACCAACTGAGGAATAGCATCCGGGTGGATGAAAATCTGGAATAGAACGGGTTAGAAAACCTCATTTCATGGTTATTGGCAGCCACAGGAACAACCTACAATATCATCGTCGATCTTCACGTAGATAGTATCGTTCTCCACGACCGAGTCCCATATACATCCATAACTTGATCCTTCGCAAGTACCAGCTTCTACGATGTGATAGTGCTCTTTCCTTTGCGAAACAAGGCCGCTTAAGTATTCGAGATCGTCTTCGTTGTTCGTATGTACCATGAACCGGATTTCGTCAAGGTAACCTCCATTTGCGGCGAGGTTTTGTTGTAGATAACAGTCTAAGAAGTCGACAGTTCTCTTGCGGCCGTAGAAGACCAGCGCGACGATTTTAATACCCTCGGGCTTCTTCCACCCACCTTTGGGGCCATGGCTCTTCAGCCCTGCTGTGCTATTTTGCGGAATCGGCGTGTATTGGCCCTTCGCATCCACAGGCCAAGTGGTACATTTTCCAGCTAAGTCGTCGGGCTTGTCAGACGCCAGAAGGCCGCCTATGCGTTGAAAGGGTGCTGATCGATATAGTTCGTGATGGGTCGCCTCAAAGATGACCATGAAGAGGCCGATAGCAATTATGCCTATAACGATTAATCGCCTTACTAGGCGATGATGTAGGTAGTGCAACAGCCAGTCGCGGTCTACCACCATCATCGCGGCGAGCTTAGATCGAGCGCGACGGAAATCCATGCGTCCTTCGTCCCATGCCGAATCGGGACGCGTTAACGGCCTTGCAACCGGTGATCCTCTCATAGATGATATATCAAAAGCCCTACTGAGGGCGGGAAGTATGCGACAATGGCATTGCCAAGGGAGATACGGCGGAGACTGCGAGAGACGATGCTTAATTTTTATGAGAGTCGGATGGCGCTAAGCGGGTAATATATGCAAATTAAAGTGACCTGGCCTAGAGGTACCAGTTGGATGGCACGGTGCAGCGAGCCGAAAGATAAAGATCCGCCATGACCAACAGGGCGAGATGGGGTCTAGGCATCTAGGCATCTAGGCAACTGTATTATTCATTTACTTAGGAGTGGCTCATCTGAAGAGATGAGGGCTGTGATGGGCCCGAATTGGCCAAGGATTAAGTAGCCCCTGAAATGCCAAGCACACGAAAAGACCCGTAACAAATCCTACAAGGACCAAATGAAGTGGAGGGGTCCATTCTATGTGCTGTTAAAGAATGATAACAAAAAGTAAGGTACTACATATTGATGGAGAAAATGTTTAGGTGCGTGACACTAAATGTTTACCTAGGAAGATTGTTCGCAAGTTTACGTTGTAGGAAGAATCCAATAAAACGCGTTAAGCTTCTAGAACCAGGATAGAAATTGTTGGCGCATTGATTGCGCTTAATAGGATCAAAGTTAATTCAATGTAACCTTGCCTGCACCTATTAATGTAAGGTTCCTGAGTTGATGTGGGGTTATTATGTAATCACAAACTATACTTACCTCTGACATATCAGACATATGCACCTGCTCTACTTGATTTAGCGCTTATTAGCGCGGAAGTACAGAAGGTTTCGTCAATGCTATCCGAACGCTACAGCGTAGAAATGATGGCACCATTCTGATCTTTGTTTAATTTTAGAATTTTCATACATCATCAACGCTATCGTCAACTAGGTTAGGCAGATAGTCCTGCTTTATTCTACATTAAGATTTTAATAGTCTTTCGTAATTCTGTAGCACGGTATCAACCACTACTAAGCTATGATGGAAATACACATTTCGGCTTTTGGCCGGGGGCTGAGCACTGTTACAGAATAAAACAGAGGGCAAAAAGGATTTCAGTAGTTATCGGCTTGCCATAAAAGCCGCTCGCACGTGTAGACATGTACACGTCTCCAATAGTTTTCCTACCGGCTGATGCCATCTATACCTAACTATAATACAGTCGTTTTCTTACATATATCCAACTCCTGCTATTGATGCAAACACATATCTATCTCCAACCGTAATCCTATGCAACGTACTGTCCCGCGCCCTTGTATTTATTTCCTAATAAGCGCAGTTCTAAACATGACGATTCAAGCATCCTCTATCCAGCCAGACCGCCAACAAAGTATGCAAGTGTAACCACCTAGTAAACAAAATGAATAGATGCAGCATCACTCATATCTCATGATCTTTTGCCATGGCCTTAGATGAAGGCACCATCTCTACCCCGAGGTGGATTATGCCCTGGTGGTCGAGGTGGTGAATTGCGGTATGCCGTATCTTCGCTATCGCTACGAACCCTATTCCACCTCTTCGTCTCGTAATCTTCGTCCTCGATTTCTTTATCGTCGCTTCCCCTCCTCGGCGGACTGTTGGTTATGCCCCTACCATATCGCTCCGCTCTCTTATCGTCCGAATATGAATCGTCTTCACTTTCTTCCTCATCGTCGTAATCATCCCCGTCATACCGAGGTATCGTGGGCATCGTGTGTGAATCACCCTTAACGAGGCCTAATATTTCTTCCTCACTTGCATCCTTCGCCTTTACCTGTCGTTCTGAGAAACCCCGCGATCCTATCCCGTGGCGCGACGACGAGTTCCTCGGCGACGGCAGCGCTTGCTCCTGTATACTGTCAGCTTGATGCCGACGGAATACATTTTGGAACGAGAACTGCCGACGTGCTACAGGGACCTCCCCGTGAGGCGGCGGTGTCGGCGGTGCCAGAGAAGATACGCTGACATTTGGCTTCGGCGTTTCCGTAAACTGGATATGACGCCCAGTGCTGCCAGATGCTATACTAGCAGCACCTTCGTATTCGGTCCTGCGCAGGCTATTCGGGAGACCGTAAATATGGCCGTGGCTAGTGCTATATGGACTAGCTTCGTTTGCGTATTTCTGACCCGGAACAGCGATATCAGTCAACTGTACCGGGTGCATCGGACTTTGGATTCTAGGATCGTGAGCGTCCTGGGAAAAGTCGGGATGTCCTGGTAGCAAAACGCTCCTCGCCCGACTTCGGATAGTACCGGCTATGCTTGATAGCATACCCGGTGACATCTGACGACTACGCTCTTCGGCTAACTCTTCCTCGGTAAAAAATCTTGATCTGCCCAAAGGCGGATGGGCTGGCGTGTTGACGATACTTGGTGATGTTGTCGCACGACTCCTATAACTTCCAAGTCCAGTCCTTCTCCGTCTTAATCCATCCCACTCGTATAATTGTTGGCCATCTTCGCTGACTGGCGCGAGACGTTCTAATTCCTTTTCTTCGCGAAGTCGCCGGAATTCCTCTTCCTCCATCTTCTGTCGAGCAAGAGAAATACGCCGTACAATGGCGGCGGTTCCACGAATGGCGTCAGCTTTGGGTTCGGTTTCGGGCTGCTCTTGCTCGGCAATCGTGTGGATTTGGTCCAAGTCCCCAGCGAAAACGGCAGCATCTGGCACATCTTTGGCGGACTTTGACAATTGCAGCAGAACAACACCAGCGCAAATAGTAAGAAATCCCATGACCACCGTAACAATTTGCATCGCGGTACCCTTGAACCCTTGGAAGAGGACCGCCGAAGTAATCATAGTCGTACTTGTGAAATAGACATAATAAGTCGGAGTAACCATAGCTGCATTAAATAAATTGAGTGCTTTCTATAGAAAAAGTCAGAATATATTTACCATGTAATTGCAGCAAACTCACATTTAAATAAATAATCTCCGTCAGTAGTGTCGCTATCACGAAGACTAGAACAATGTATAGAAACCACTGGTTAAACTGGGGAGTGCCGCCGGCCTGCGCAACAATAGCAGCACCAAGACCCTGGGTAGCGACGACACTCAACCCTCCGATCCAACTACAGACCGAGATATACGGAAACATATTTTTCTTGCCGTATCGCGGCGCAACCCAGAGCGCAACGAAAGCAGAACCGACTATAATAACACCGATGTAACTTAGAAAACCCGGCGTAACGACGAATTTCTGTAACTCCTGGATAGTCGCTACAGAAGATTCCTCGGGGGCATTTAAGACGATAATCACGGATCCAACTATGCAGAGAAAGCATGCAACCTTGCCGACCATGCTCAATCTCTCTTTTAGGAATATGGCTGAGAGAACAGCTGTGATAACGACGGATAAAGCTCCCAGGGACGTTACCAAGATGGCGTCCGTGAAGGCGTAGGCAGCGAAGTTGCATAGCTCGCCGATAATCATTAAAGTCATTCCACCCCACCAGAAGGCGTTCTTAAGGTAGCCATAACCCTCGCCAGCGACCTCATTGTATTTTTCGTTTGCTTTGAGCAATCCAACTTTCTTTAACACAAATGATACTCCGATGAAGCAACCAGATGCAATCGCCAATGATATACCGATAGCCTTATAGGCGGGTGGTCGGGTTTGTGTCGCGGGGTCGGTGCTCGTCTCGTTCGCTCTGGCGTATATGTGGTTGGCCGCGACGAGGAGCTGCCCCGTCTGGTCCATATCAGAGCCGCGGGAACGGCGAAAAAAGGCCGCCTGGGAATATATATATGGATTTCACGAATTACTGAATCGTTCGTTTATTGTGGGGGAAACTCTAGCTTTCGCAAAGCGTAGGACAATCGTATATAGATGGGTTGTGCAGATCGCGCAGTTCGAATCCTCTAAACATGAAAAGGTAGATAGACAGCGCAGGAATTCTGTTGTTCTCGTGAAAGTAATTCAAATTTACTTAGGTCGCCATATCGTTCCCAAGGCAAGACTTGAGTTACAAACACAGTTGAAGGTCGACGGGATGGTCCAACTCTAAATAGGTGAACCTTGAGCTAGGGTTCAAGCGACAGCGGAAGGTTAATCGTATTAAGGATATGGAGCGCAGGAAAGGTTAAATGATCAGTTCGTCGGAAGGAAATTGGCAATATACGAGTCTTTCGTAGTAGTAGAATAGGAGTTATGAGTTTAGTTGCGTAACGAAACGGATACGTTGCGAATTCGTAGGGGTTTCCGATATTAGACGACTTGTAGTGGGAGTAGAAGTGACTAGGACGTAGGCGGTCGTAGGCGGTCGTAGGCGATGTTGAACCGGGCTGGTTCATGAAACAACGGTTAACAAGGAACAAGGAAGCTTGGTACTCTCGGGTCGCAATCGCTAAGTAAGATCGAAAAGCGGCTTTGAAGCATTCTATGCTGGACACCTAACATGGAAAAGGGAGAGGTTGGAAGCACAATGTAAAAACAATATAAAAACAAGAGCAAAACAACTTCGAAGTTAGTCGAATAGGCTGTTGGGAAGGACTTTCCGCCGTCCGATCTCAAGTGTTGATCGCCTGGACGACAGCCCGTACATAGTGCATTTTGCAGGGACCAGCAAACTTACGTACTACATGTCTGCATGTGCATAGGTTATGTGCGACGTTAGAGTACATGCTGTGTGGTCAGTGCTTGTTAGTGCTTTTTAGTAAAAAATAAACGAAACAGTGGGAATTAGGTGAATTTCGAAGGCCTGGAACAGCTATTGTGTACTACCTGCCCCTACCAAGAGCGCCAAAGGTGTATGGTACCCAATTAAGCATCTTGAACTAAATACGCATCACTTCGGGGCTCAGCTAGGTAGCTTGTATCCAGAGGGACAACAAAAGCTGAGTGTCGGATCGGAGCATGGCTGCTACCGAGACCTACTAGTGTTACCATTTATGTAGCACCGCACTTTCACAAGTTACCTGGAACTCCACGTTGGATTTAAGGTCAGATTCCGTACTTCGTATCCAGCTGCAAGATTCCGTTCTTACACTACTTTCTTATATGCTATGTGTAGTGCAACTATTTAAAATGTCGCGTCGAATACCTAGATAAAGTACGTAGTAGGTCGGTAAATATAAAATATATGCGCTCACTTATAAAACATACCTTATTTTAGGCTGTGTATAAAAGACAAATGCGAAAAAAGAAACCGACACATATTTACGATACTTACAACATGTTTGATAGAGATGTTAGCTCGGTTTCCGAGGCAGCCGGAAAGGTCTTGGCTACCTCTACCTAGCACTTAGGTACCTATGCAGAATAATTAAAGCGAATGGGTTTTTGTGCTAACGCTCGATCTGAGTTCCAGGTTCGAATGAGATCTCGACCGACGCCGATCTTGAACACTTTCAGGTTTCCTAACCCTGCATACCGTAAGGAGAGTTGCATCGCGTCTCCGCGCTAAGAGAATGCGACCAAGTGATGTCAACGAGCAACGAGCAACGAGACAAGCTAAAGCAGATAACCGCCGAGGTTGATTAATACGCTGATAGACATGGAATATTGTAATAAGCAAAGGGTCAAGTGGCCTAGAATTAGGTGTATACGCCTATTAGAATTTGACAATGAGAAAGCATCCGACTTATGACACTCAGCGGCGCATCGCCCCCTAGGCGGCAATTGCAGCATCACACTTACAACGATCGTTATAACTTGAATCGTCACCATGCAGCATACAATTGATTGGCCTAGTCGCTACCATCCATCGTGTGCTTGAAACCGATTTTGGGAACCAACTCACCTATCATGGCTAAAAACAAGGTCGATAAGGTCGTCATCCGGTCGCTTTTAGTACCAATGAGGTCACCCAAAACCAGCCAGGGATTAGCGCCCGCCAATACCACCGTAACCCATATCCATATGAAGAGATATCCCGATTATATGGCTCACGCTTGTTTTAGGAAAGCTGCTGGTTTCAATGCCTGCTCCACGTGATCACTCGGTAACTATATTGCGTCCTTCGGGAGTTGTTATATTTCCTCGTATTTCTTCTCAATAAAGTGCCGATTAATATATTCCGTAGTCTAGGTAAGTTACAAGAAATATATTTCCAGCCTGCCCCTTTAACATATACCATCACCCCTTTCGTGGGAGCTAGTAGAGCGATACACGACCGCTATATTAATTAAAGCTATAAGCTAGCATATTCTAAATTGTATAGCCAAAAGTCTATATGGAGTAGTTTATAAAGCCAACATTATGGTATGTACTACTAGTAAATAGTTGAGCGACCATCTGGGTCTCAGGGGTTGCAATCATAGGGTCTGGTGTCCCCATTAAACATCAGCATATCTCCGCTGTTCCCGATTTACTACTTTGCGTAGGCTTGAACGTTTCCGTGCCGTATTTTGGGAGGAAACGTTATCTATTTACATTTAGCTCTTGAAAAATGACAGGCTGTCTCCGCGTAGGACGTAAGACTCACCACTCTCATTTCCATACCAAAAGTATATCAAGAGGACCAACAGCCCAAGGGGAAGCAGAGAAGAAACCTCGCCGACGACTAAGACGTGGTTAGAATGACGGGATATCATATCAGCACTTGATGGCGACGTACCCATTCTCCAAGAAAACCACGAGGCCGGCAATCGTAGTTCGCCGTCGTCATTGTGCGGGAAACCCAAAGTATTCACTGCGAAGAGGCTCGTGAGGAAAGAGAGCGGGGTCTGTTTGCCCAATATACATATTAGCAACGTCGTTGTATAGCCACATTAGAAGATTCAAGCTCACAAATATGACCGTTATAATTGTGAAAGGTAGAATCATGAGATTCAAGAACCGCGATTGTTCAGCTTCCTTGAGAGATGCCTGGGCCTGCATTGCTTGGATGATGGTACTCAACTAGGTAAATCTCGTAGTTAGTACACCCGTGAAGAACACTATTTAGATAGAAGGAAAAGAAAACAATGTAGGAAGAACTTAGGTTTCCCGCTCGTACACTTACCCCCTCAAGTGTGGTTGACGCATCGCTTTCCATTCGCCTAACCCGTTGGATGAGCGACTGGAGACCACAATCGCGAATAAAGCTCTCCCGCAAATCTTTCGAAGCAATATGCCCCTGTTTTTGACTTCCAGGGGTACTACTAGGCCAAAATATTGCCGCGAAATCCGCAACTACCTTGGCTTGTGTCTCGAAGACTTGCCGTAGCAGGTGAAGCTCGTCTCGGATGTCCCTAACGCGATAGGTACAGTGAGCAGCTTCTTGTATAAACCCGTTGACGTTATTTGGACTCCAATTGCCACTGCTGAAGTTCTTAAAGAATCCGGCTTCTCGGTCCGTCTGCAAAGTTGGTTAGTGTACATGACTCTGTTTTGCTGGGGAATTAGGGTAAAGATTTACCTCAGTCGCAATCTCGCCTTCGAAAATATCTAGGATATGGTTACCAAGTCCCGCCCACTTGAATTCGTCAAGGAATGATACCGTTTCATATAGGATGCGCTTAATGAGGTCATTCGGTGTCGTGAGGATATCTAGGTTACCCTGGCGTATTGTCTCGAGAAGGGTGTCGGCCGTCATTCCGTTTGCTCGAGACGGTATCGCCGTGATAATGGTATCTTTGGATTAAGCATAGGAGTCAGCCCATACGAATGTCTATATAAAGGCATATTTCCTTTAGTTACTTACTATCATCAAGTTTCCATAACCACAACTGCCGGGACATCAACCACTTCGGCGAAGGATCCTCGCGGATACGCTTGGCGTTGGCATTTTTAGCGTTTCTACCGCCATGCCTCCTTGGCCTTATGGGATCTGTATCTAGTCGTTGTGTATCTATTACCTTTGACGAATTTAGCTGCGGAGGTTGCTCTTGTTGCCCCCGCAACTTCTGCCACAACTTGTATAATTCCGATAACTTCTTTCTAAGCATAGGCTGGTTACTACTGCTTGGTTCTCCTGGAGAAATAGAAGCATTATTGTTCCCTTTAGTTCGCGCTTGGCTGGGCTGCTCTTGTTGGCCCCTTAACTCCCGCCATAGCTTATGAAATAACAATGACAACTTCTTTTGAGGTGTAGGTTGGTTGATACTGCTTGATTCTCCTGGTGAAGAGGAAGCACTATTGTGCTCTTCAGTTGGCGCTTGATTAAGCTGCTGCGATCGGTGCTCTTGAAGCTCTTGAAACTGTTTCCTTTCTGTGTTTCTCTTCTTAGACCACCTGTATATCACTTGTTCCTTCTCCGTATGCAACTTTGTGGCATCACTTTCGGTATTGTAGTAAATCTGATCCAACGTTTGAGAGTGCTGGACACCGTGCATACCTGTAAAAGGAGAGTACACCTCGTTAAGTTTCTTGACTCTTTGACATTGTGTTTCAAGGCCGTCGAAGCCTGATTGGACTTGATCTTCTGTCTCAATATCTAAAAAAGGCACCTGTGGTATTTCATGTAAGCTACTCTGTGCCGAGAGAGTTTCGCATAAGTTATATGTGACTTACCACCAAAGAAAACATCTTGCCGGGCATAAAAGCATCTGTGTTTTTCCATGACTGAACTGCACTGGGCTCTACCTCCTTTTCATCCTGCGCTTTCGCAGTGGTAGTAATACTGGAAATGGAAGTATCTGCTATCTCTAAAACTAGTGTTAGTGCTGAGTTTTTTTTTTATCGAGTGTATTTTGCTGTTAATTACTTGTCTTTGGGCTGTCCTTCTTCCTCTGGAGCGTCTTATCGTTCCTATCCCGGCTGTTGCTAGCCTAAACAATACGTTAGAATAGGTACTACTATTGGGCTTCTCAATAGATGATGGTGTGTTATCATGCCATGCTGGGCAATGTATCGGCTATTTGAATGAACTTCCCTTTGCATGGGGGATCCTAACACGTGAGTATAAGCTGTCTGTCTCATGGATGCGGATATTCTCTTCGAAAAACCGCCATGTTCTTCCATCCAGTTGTTTGTTCTCATTGTATCTGGCGTTGTGTATAATGAAGTCCTGGCAAGTGTTAGCCAACCAAACAGGCGGTTGACATACATTACGGGAAGATTCTTTTCTACCTTGATCCATGTCATCTATACGTATGTTAGTACGATATCCACTGACGCTTGTAGGGGTGTTTTTGCTCACATTGTTAGATGGGAAGTTGATCCATCTCCAAGAATTCTTCCCCACGTCGTCCTCGACTTGTTTCCTCTTATCTTCGAGTCCTTGGTCCTGTGTTTCTACACTCCTAATTTCGTCTTTTCCATTTTCTTGCCCAGTAGCTCTATGTCTATCACCTAAGTCATTCCCATACTCTTCCTCCCAACACATCCAAGCTTTCGATTTGAATCTTCTCTCGCAGTTGACAAGGAAACCCTCCCCACCATCTACGGGTTCAAGTGTCTCCTCGTCCTCTTCGTGGTTTGGATAAAGGACATGAGAAACTTTCATGTCACTTCGAATCCATGACATAGAGGTGTTTCCGTCTGGCTTAGGGTCTAGCCCAGGCCATTGATACCGGAAGTAGACAGGGAATTCGGCACAAATGTTTCTCATCTCATCAAGGTACTCTGTAGGACCCCGCGGTATATTCCCAACTCTCTCGCGTGTCATGGTTGGCTTCTTTAGCTTGGAAAATACATCCAGAGCAAAAGTTCTATCATCTTTGGATACGTCATCTCTACTCAAGAATAGATCTTGGGGTGTTGTCCAGTCCAAGTTACGACAATCCATATCTGCACCCCAATCGATCAGTAGTCGGATGAGCCCACGATGCCCGCGTCTACACGCACTATGTAAGGGCGAATCACCTAAAGATTTCGTTCAGTTTCCAGAATGACACGGTATTAAGTGTTAATTATCTCACCGTACTCATCTTTTGTATTTACTTCAGCCCCATTTTCTAGAAGGAGTTGAGCAAATGACATTGCCTCTCGATCAGGACCATGGATGATAAGCAGATGAAGAGGTGTGTGGAAACTACGATTCTGTGCGTCGACATTTGCTCCATGTTTAAGAAGTCGTAAGACAACTTTGTGGCTTTTGTTCCTTGTAGGCTCTTCTTCGTTCCAGCCATACTTCATTACTGCGTGGTGTAGTGATGTTCTTCCATCGTAGTCACGGGTATTAACTAGCTGTGACGGCGCTGTTGAGCGATTATGAAGAATTTCGAAAACTAAATCGGAATGTTCTCTGATGATAGCTATGTGAAGCGGTGTAAGGCGTTCACTGCCGCTTGGTGTATGTAAGGAGATGGCGGGCTGCTGGACCAGGAACTTGACGTCTCTAAGCAAATTCCGATAGATGGCGATAGATAGAAGAGAATACCCAGCCCCTATTTTGATATCGTTCATCATATCCCGAGTTCGAGGCTGAATATTTTCGATATCTTCCTCTTCGAGATTCCTGAAAGTGTTCACTAGCGAGGCCTTGTCATCTTCGTCTAAGATGGCCCATTGCTTTAGAGTTTCTTCAACTTCACCGTCCTTACCATGTGTGACAGCATGCCAAATATTGTTTTCAGCCAATGTTTTCAGAGATACTGGCTGCCAGGCGCCGGACCTCCAACTCAACGTAGGTTTTAAAAATCTCATATTGGGAGAACAGCAATAAGGAAGCCCGTTTCTCGATCCAAAGAGACCGCGACCGATCAACGATTGGGATAAATTCCGTGCGGATTGGGGTATTTATGCGGGCGACAATCTCATGGCTGGCTTAGGCAGACTGGGTGGAAGTGATGAAGAAATCTAGACTTTATTTTCGAAAATAGCTTCCTACTTCAACATTCTCATCCAGGTATCTTATCCCGACCCCAGCAAATCCTTGTACAGCCGCATCTCAGCTCCGGCTCAAAACGTATTCTGTCGGTTAGGCATGGAGTGATGCCAGCAAAGAAGCGCAGCGGCAAGCGGGTTATTGAATAATATTTCCATGGGTGGGCACGGATCTCACTTTCTGTTTAAGGAATAGGTAATAAATTACAAGGATATTTTTGAAAATTTCATAAATATTTGCTCTTGGCTTGGGCACATGAGGCTCTGTCGCGTTCCTCCCCCGCCTCCCCTTTCTTTTCGGCCTAATAACCCTTGTATTACACCAATAAGATAGTCAGAATTACGATGTACTTAGTTAACTCGGCTAGGTTCTAGTCTTGGAAGCAATTGGTAGCAATAGCTAACGAACCTGTGCTTATCGAGGTATATTCCAAGCCAATATTGAGCAAGGAAGTCATTTGCGTAAAATATCATATAGGTATGCTATTAAGACTGCATTTGTGTTCTAATAATGGGTTGAGATCTACTCCTGGTTCATTTACGTTAGGTATCTCATTATTTTACTATACTACGTTTCCTTGTCTAAATATCTCGAGGTAAATATCCGAATACAAGATTCTACAAGACTCAGATCTATCTCTAGGCGCATAGTCTAAGCTCTAAGATTTCTTCTCGTCGATTGACTTCGGCTGGGGAGCTTTCTCTTCGTCGCTTTCGCGTTCCGAGTCCTTCTTTAAATCGGCAAGGTCAGAATTGAGGACAAACTCCTCTTTATCGATATGCTTAAAGGTAAACCAAAAGACAACGGTAAGTACAGCACCGGCAATGGTTGGCCCAGCAAACGCCCAGATGAGATAGGGGTCACTGATGGCCGGTGCGGTGGCAAGGCCGATGGCGGCGGAGATGGCCGTCATGAAAAGATTGAGCGAAGCAACAAGACCCTTCATGTTCTTAGGAGCCCGCGAATAGGCGATACCGTAGGCAGTGACGTTCACGAAGATTTCCGAAACAGCAGTGATTATAACAGGGACCGCGTACCAGGCGTAGGAGACGGTAGAAACTGAAACCTCGCCAACAGGGACGATCTCAGCACATGTCGTAGCATTCCAGCCGCAGGGTGAAGTCTTATACACGTAGTACTGAAGAATAGAATAGGCGATCGAGCCGACTGTGCCAAGCGCGAACCCGAAGGTCATCCGAGAAATGGGACCCCATTTGATACCGCGTTTGCGTAGAAGCGGGTAGACGACATGGTTCATGATAGGTACCGCTATATATTTGTTAGCTTTGATACTAGCCCATCTTATTTCCCTAAACTAAAAGGGGGTAAGTGCATACCTAGGACAATAGAGACAGCGTTTAGATTGTCCAAGAGATCGTTAGGGAGACCATTAGTATCCATTCCAGCAGTGAGGGCATTGGCAGCGGCACCAAGACCACCGTCGTTGATTTGCCAGATAGGCGAAAAGAGGAAGATGCCACAAGCTTGGAAGGTCCTTCGAACATCGTTAACGAATTGGTCGTCGTATGTGTATACTTTCGTGCTGCCTGCGGCTTTGCGCACACTTGGCTTGCCGGCTTCCCAAAATCCTGTACGGCCAATACGCTTCCAACCACCATGAGCAAAGATATCACCGAGGACCCTAAACACATTTCCCAAGTCTGAACCTCCCGGAGGTTGTTTTATAAGGCGCGGGTTCAAGTACCATAGTAGTGGTGGAAGCATCAGGTACAAAATCGTGGGAATCAAGTATGCCGACCAGTATCCAACAAGCTTAGCCAAGTAGGTCGTCGCAATGCCAAAACAAGAGCCGACATTAATGAGCAGGTAGAACCACAGCATCACGCTGTTGACTGATTCCTCAGGGTCCACGATAACCTTCTCGCCGTTCTTTTCAGTGATGACATGGGCAATTTTATGAGGGCTCTGGTCAATCACGGTAGGAGAAATATTGGGTTTAAACTGAGCAGCACCAATTGAGAGCATGTCTAATAAAAGTCAGTATACCGTTTAGCAGTTTAGAAGTAATCTTATGTTGTCTTTTTCACTGCTTCTAGGAAGCGTAGAACGCGGACAGCAACGATAAGAGTCAGGGACATCAAGACATACTGCACAAAGGTTAGCATTTAAGTACCCATACGGCAATACGGCAATACATGAATAGGGAGGTAGAGGATAACTTGACACAAATATCATTATACATACCATAAAGATAGAGCAAAGGGGCCGATAGCGTTGCCTGAGAGGAGCACAGGTGGAAGTGCCGAAATGATCATGATAATATGAGCCACACCACATACAGCAACACCCCAGCAAATCATCTTGAAGCGACCGTACTTAGTGTCGGCGAGCCAACCGAAGTAAATTGGCAGCGCATATGCTAAGAATTTGAATGCTTCAGTCATAGCGGTAGCTACTACCGAACCCCTACCAAGAGCTCCGGCAGTATATTCAGACCCGGGAGCTGTAGCACCACTGCCGTTGCCATCAGGAGGTAAGGGGGCTCTGATGAAGTTTTTGTAGACCTGGTTGCATCCATAATAAGAAGCCCGTTCGGCGAATTCGACCGCGCAGAGATAATAACAAGTTGCCGGCATCTTGCCAGCAACACGCCTTAACGTAGATTTCTCCTCCTCGGTTGGGATGACGAGACCTTGAAGTACCGCATGGCCATCTTCAGTAATATATTTTTCTGAGGTATTGGTGCCAACCTGGGGCTTCTCATCGAGTACTTTCTCGTCGACAGACGCCCGCACCGCGCTGACGGGGGCGACGACGGTTGGAAGGGTAGTACCAGTATCTTAGAACAAGAGCGTTAGTATATTAACTTATTGACTTATGGATTTATGAGAACATAGACAACAACGTACCCATTGTGGAAGTCTGCTTTCTAGTTGAGCAGACACTTCAAAGCAAGAAAGCGAAGATACTGCTCGGGGTTCGCACCCAAGATAAGGGAATGGAGAGAGGACTGGCAGAGACAGAAGGATCGACAGGAGGGCACATATGTGACACTGCATAACGGAATATATCCAGCTATATAGTAGTAGTACATGGCTACCACGCAGGTTGCAAGCCATCGGGGCAAGCCAGCCACTCGTAACACCAAGAACCAAGACTTGCCCAGATCATGATACCTAGCTTATCAGCGACAAGATAGTCTTCTTTCTACCATCCCAGCTTCCTAGATGAGGTTATCCGCGAACCCCCAAGCAGTTGAGATACGACTTAGGCTCTACATAATCATACAATACTCGGACCAGTCCACACCAACGGTAATCTGCCAAGCGCCTTGGTAGTTGGGTAAATACACAAACAGGTAGCTCCTCCGCCGGACCCTAGGCGCCACCAAGTCCAGACCAGCCACTCATGAGGCCGGAGATCTAGTTGTCCATGACCGCCTCCATATCAAATATCATCAACCTAGTATGTAGGTAGATAATCCTACACTCGCAAGATCTATACCAACACGTCCAGGACGACATGATAGATCTCGTCTAACGGATTTCGGATTCGCAATGAAATCCAATTAGCTGGGAAAATCAGTTATCCAGTAGGATCGCCTTGGTTAGCATTGTACTCGGCCGGTTTAGGCAGGTGGTTGACGATAACGCGAACCTACCTATGGGCCATGGCGCAATCTACAAATCACGCCCACGATATTGTGGATGCGACGTAGCATTGTAGCAACGCAGAGATAACGATAGCAAGGGAAGGGGGTAGAAGCAAGCCTTCCCCAGCTTTTGTTACGCAAAGATCCACGGGCTTGGGACAAAAACGTGCTGGTTTCTTGTTTTCTCTCATCCTTCGGGCACCAAGCCGAGCTACCTATCTCACCTCATAAGACGCCAGGTTCAAATGTTCACTCATCTCATGATCAAACATTTTCATCGTCCCGAACTGCCAAGCCACCGGGCCTTTTTATCTAAGCGCCACCCGTCGTGGGAGGGAGGATTAGGTCGTTCAAAGAACATTTCTTTTGCAGCGCCCAGAATGCTTATGAAGCTTGCCCTTTACTTGGCGGTCGTATCTTGACAAATCTACATACAAGTTTAGTAAAACACGGCTAGATACGGTGATCACAATCCAGGACGTACCTACTCACCGGGAAGGCTAACGATGAAGGTGGCCTAGTGTTGCTTTGTTGGTTGTAATATGGATTGTTTGATAGTGTGACGTGTGACTTAACTTGGACGGGACTATCTAAGCTGTCTACAAACTCAAAAAGCTTTGGTCTTCCAGATCCGGGCATAATATTAGAGAATATGCTGACTCTGGGAGTTCCGCCGCTATAAAAACACTCCTGTCGCATGAGGCCGACATTATATTACCAAAGTCACGGGATACGTTTATCGAGACGGCGAGATTTAAAGGATTTAGGAACAAATATGCACTAGAGAATTTCATGGTAACTACGCCTATTGGCTTTTATGATTGGTGTAGGTATGATTATCTCGGGGGCTTACATACCGGGGTTGTTGCTCGTAACAAATCATAAAAAGACCTCACCATACTTAAAAAGTATTTTCCTAGCAAGCCCACAGTGAAGGCATCATTCATTTGCTATATGTCGTAAGTGAGGGCACCCCCTACACTATATCTTATGCTCACGATCCAGATACTAAGAATTTCCAATACTACCTAACCAAATTTTCTCGCATATATATTCTCCATTCAAGTTGAAGGAATAAGTAGACTATCCAGAATAGAGCAGGTTCAGCTGATAATAAGGGCCAAGAGTTGTTTATATTATGCATCCCGAAGCTTACTAGGTTAGTGGGTTTCTTAAGAACCGCGATTCCTTCGAATATCTGCTCTGGCGAATTATTATGCCATGGGATTTAATCCTTTATTCGGGTCCTAGCTCATTCCGTATTGTGCTCCGGCAGCCTCTAATTTTCGTTTCATCCTCTGAAAGGGCCGTCATGCCATAACCTCTGTCGTTAAATCAAGCCAAGAAAGAGTCTCGTGGACTTCGTTAGCTTAAGAGAAATCCTCATAGCTCACCACCGAAGAAAGAAGGCAGTTTATTACATGATACTCTATACTAGTATTTGGAATGAAATCGAAATCAAAATTAGGATATCCAAGTTCAGGTCCTTCTATTATATAATTAGCTACGCTATAGGATAATAAAACCCCCTCCCATACATTTAATAGTTCACCAAATGTGGAATATCAAATTGTATATGAAGTGCCTATGCTAAGAAACAACAAGGCTACCCCTAAAATACACTTATATACTGT